GTATGCTTGCCTGCTGTCTTCAGAGCCAAATTCAAGGACTCAGCTTCTTAAAATCCAGCTCTGAGTAGACTTACTTGGTGCCTTGAGCCGTGGTCCTGCTTTTGCAGAGATAGCAGGTGTCTGAGGGAGCAGGAGTACGGAGACATTGCACAGGATAAAGATTCTTGTTCATTCTGAAAGAGCCTAGTGGTGGCCCACGCTGGAAGCTGGAGTCCGTTTAAGTAGCTGAGGAACCCTGGGTGAGTAGGCTCAGTGAGGCTGGTACATCAGCATGGCTAGCCAAAATGTGATGGCACGCGGGGTTTGGCTGCTATGGTGTTAGAAGTTGACAGGCCACATGTGCTTTGGCTTTTCGATTCTTTTTTCCCCCTTCCTGGGCATTATATAGGTTCTTGAAGGATCTTGGGGCTGCACAATTCAAGTGTCACCCTACCTCTTCCATGATCTCAGTACAAAAACCTTCTCCTTCAAAGCCCTTTAAATCCTAGCTTTCCTGTCTTACTTTTCCAGTCTTCTTACACCTTTCTCCTCCCTTCCCCATCCCATACACTCTTCCATCCAGTGACCCTGGCCTCCTGGCTGTCCAGGATCCAGGCGCTCTATCTCTCATCTCCCATTTTTTCTCACGTCTTCATACCTGGAATGTTGCCCTTCCTCATCTCTGCCTCCTGGCTTCCCTCAAGTCCCCACCAAGTCCCGACCTTCTATCAGAAGCCTTCCCTGATACCTGTTGATTCCAGTGTCTTCTCTCGGTTGCGGTTTGGGGTGCTGGGAACCCTGAAATACAGAGGTATGGAGTCTGCCTTGAGAGAATTCGACCACTCAAGCCTTCTTCCAGTCAGTAACAAGATTTATTGTATGGCCAGTCCCCAGTGCCCCTTGATTCTGTTGTCTTCTCTCTGTTGTGGTTTGGGGTGCTGGGAACCCTGAAATGCAAGCATATGGGGTCTGCCTTGAAAGAATTGGACCTTAAGCCTTCTTTCAGAGTAACAAGGTTCATTGTATAGACAGTAGAAGCTGGCAGGATTCTAAGAATCTGTGCCCTTGATGAGGATGGGAACGATTTTAATACAGAAAAAGACTGTGGAAAGATCTGGATGGGATTAAGGAGTGGCAAGTAAGCTAATTAAGTGATCTAGGTGGTCTGGGGTGGGCCAGATGTCTCAGGCTAATGCCTGGCACTGGGCTGTGTGAGAAACAGGGGTCCATCTTCAGTGCGCCGTCATCTCCGTTGTTTCCTGTTTATATCCTTATAGCTTGTTTGCCCTCGTTTGTTTGCTTATTGCCTCCCCCATTAGATTGTGAGCAGGGAGTGTCTTCTGTCTTTCTTTGTTGCCCTAGTGCTTGCCCCAGTGCCTGACATATAGTAGGTACTTAATAAATACTTACTGACTGACTCACTTTCTGAGCCCCACCATAGAAGTCTGCTTTCCCCAGTCAGTCCTTGATCTACTTTCTGGGAATCTTCCTCATGCGTCACTCCCTGGCAGGGTTTTCTTGGGTGGATTCTTTCCCTGGATCCATAGTTGCAGTCTCCATGTTTCTAAAATCTGTGGGCCAGGAGTTTTCTCTGTGTGGCTTTCCTGGATCTAGGTTTTCTGGACAAGACCCTTTCCTTAATGCCCATAAGCTTCTGGCTGTCTCTTTCTGTGCATCTGAGCTCAAAAAATGCACTTACTGACCTTTCTCCTTGGATTTCATAATCATTAATTTGTTGATCTTTTCCATCTGTGCTGGGGGTAGTTGTATGAGAATTCAGCCATTCTTCTGCTCACTCCCATCATTTTGGTCTGGTTGTGTCACTTTCCTAGAGTTAACTTTCTTTTAGTGATTTATTTATGTTTTTGAGCATTGTGTATTCTTCCGGTTTTGTTCATCTCACTCTGTATCAGTTCTTATAAATCTTCCTGTCTCAAGATTCCTCATGTTTCCAATGTCTTACTGTAAAATAATTTATTATTTTTATGTATCATTTTGTTAATAGACTTTTGTTTCTAGTTTTTTCCTACCACAAAATGCATTACTATAAATATTTTGGAGAACTTTGTGAACTTTCTGCTTTTTTTTTTTAACCTCCTTGGAGTATATGTCTCTAGTCATGGGATTGCAGAGTCAAAAGATATCCACAATTTCCTAACTTTTCTCCAACATGGTTTCCAGAATGAGTGGAGTATTTGAGAGCTCCTCCCATAGCATATTCTCACCGTCCCCTCAGACTTTGAGTATCCTGTTGTTGTTTTTTTGCTCTTTTGCTACCTGTAAGGTAAAATCTCAGTTGTTTCGATTTAAATTTCTTTTGTTATTACTCATCTGTGACAGTATTTCACATGGTTGTTGATAGCCTTTTGTAATTCTTTTAAAGACTGTTTCCATTTGCCTGTTGGAGAATGGCCCTTGGTCTCTATGTTATTAATTCCCTTCATGTCTTAGTTATCAGAGATTTGGTGGAAAGGTATTTTTTTCCTTTTTGTTGGGAGTATCCCTGTCTGCACTGATTTTGTTTGTGTAAACATGTTATAATTTCATGTCCATTTTATCTTATGTGATCTCCATCTCCATGACTCTTAGCCAGTCCTTCTCTCTACAGCCATTGGCTTAGTTGAGACCCTTAGCACCTCTGAAATAAACAGATCTACCTCGAGTCTCTTCGTGCAACAGTCCGTACTCCATGCTGCTGCCAAAGTGATTTTTTCACTCTTCAGTTTAGCTTTTAAAGCCTTGCATAACCTGTCCCTAATCTGTCTTCCCTGACTCGTTGGATGTTCTTATCCTTCCCATACTTTGCGATCCAGCCAGACTTGCTTCTCTCTATTCTGTCTTCCAGATGCAATAGGCCATCTCTTATCCCCTTGCCTTTGTAGTGACCATTCCTCCGTGCCGGCAATGTACCCCCTCCTTACCTGACCTTTAAGATATCACTTAAGCCCTCTCTGATCCCTACCCCCCCACCTGCTAGTGCTTTTTCCCTTCCTGACAGCCTTGTATTTAACTACTTCATTTTAAATTTAATTTAATTTAAAATTTTATTCTGTGTATCCTTAGGCATCAGCATCTTCTTGTTGTATACCCCTTCTCTACCAAGAATTGTAAACTCCTTGAAAATAGAGGTTGCTTCATTCTTTATATTTCCAGTGCCTTAATAATTCTTTGTCAGTGGGATCGGTTGGTTGATAGATAGATGGAGCTGCAACTGCTTTGTCTTCTGGTTTCTTATATAGCAAGGATGCTCATGTTGCTGTGATTAGATTGTAAGCTACTTGAGGGCAGGGACCTTCTTTTTCCTCTTTTTGTATCCCTGGCTCTTAGCCCAGTGCCTGGCACATAGTAGATCCTTAGTAAATGTTTGTCATTCAGGTCGTTTCCCTTTTCCCAGCACATGAGCAATTTGCTGGTCATTGTGGACAGTGAACTTACTTTTGGAGTTATATGAGTGGTTATGGCTGGTGTGAAAACCGAGTGCTTCCTAGATCTTCTTTGCATAGACCTGCCATTCTGCCCTCATCCCTGAGGGGTTGGAAGATAGCTGCACAGGACAGAGGGCTCTCCGTTTGTGCTTGTTTCATTGATCACTGTGGCCAAAGAGTTTATCCACTTGGAAGCAAATGCTCGTGCTATGCCCTCCATCCTTGGCTGGGTCCGTCCTAAGGCAAGAGGCACAATCTAAGGCAAGGAGTGGACTCAGAGCCCATCCCATTTGATGGCGCCTTCTAGAAGTGGTACTTCTCTTCCATAGCCTTTGAGAGCCCAACGTCACATCCATCCATTGAAGAGCAGGATTGTTGTGTTAGCTTTGTACATTGGAGGTGTTGAGTAATTGTTCAGTTGGGTTGTGATTTATGGGAGAAAATTGGTAGCAAGTAAAATTACTTACAGGAGAACCTGGGTTTGAATTCTGCCTCCCTTAACTATCTGTGTCACTCTGAGCAAATCACTCAATCTCTCAGCTTCAGTTTACTCTTCTGTAGAATGGGGATAATAATAGCTCTTCTCTCATAGGTATGTCATCAAATGAGATGACAGTTTTTGCAAACCTTAAAGTAAAAATCATGTTGAAAAGTTTAAAATTCATGGTTTTTTAAAGGCTCCAGAGCTCTCAAACATGAATACTTCTGTCTGGTTAGCACAGTCTTTTCTTTTTATTTGACCTACATGTCATAGGCAGCTTTTAATACTCATGTTCAGGTCTTAAAACTCTTTGGCCTTGGGAAAAAAATGTCTTTTTACTGAAAAGCTGCTATGGTGGGAATAGCTTAAGCCCTTCCCTTATGCAAATTAGAGTAGTTTTTTTCTTACATGGTACTGAAATAGACGAAACTTGATCGGCCCAGAGACCAAAAGTAAAAGGTTCAGGCTGTTTGTCCCTTTTTGGTCACCAGGCTTGCTCTGCTGCGTGGCAGACTGGTTACTCAGTAAACATTTATTAAGTACCTTCTATGTACCCGGCACTGTTTTAACCACCAGAGATACAAAGACAGTCTGCCTTAAAGAGCTCACAGTCTGATGGAGGAGACAACCACATACAGCCCAGATACCGACTGCATAAACTGGAGGTAATAGACCCAAAGAAGATGCTAGAATTAAGGCCAGGGGCTTTGGTTCAGCTAATCGTCCTGCATTGTCCTTGTCGCATATCCTGGTTTTACATTCTTTTCTTGCCGTGACTAAACAAATCTTTTGTTCACTGTTGTTTGAATGAGTGTCTCATTTCATTCTAATATCGAACATAAAGTACCTAGGGACTGGACTGAGTCAAGCCCAGCCCAGGACAGTGGCATATACCCTATTTAGGTTGACAGATGGTCAAGACATTGCTTTTGGTTAAGGACATCAGAGCACTGTGGGAAAATGTTAAGGAGGAAAAGTAGACGTTATCTGTAATGGTTCTAGCAAAGCTCACGTGTGGTCATTTTAAAATGAGTATCCATTAGAGCAGACCCCGGTGTCGGGCTTGTCATGACTTTTGAGGTCACTAAGTCCCATCTCTCTCCTCTTGTTTACAGACCCTAATTATCTGATGGCCAATGAGCGAATGAACCTGATGAACATGGCCAAGCTGAGCATAAAGGGGCTGATCGAGTCGGCACTCAACCTGGGGAGAACCCTAGACTCTGACTACGCTCCTCTCCAGCAGTTCTTTGTGGTCATGGAGCACTGCCTGAAGCATGGCTTAAAAGGTGTGGCCTTCCAGAGTGAGGGAGAGGGTGCACAGCGTGTGAAGAGGGCCAGCTGGGCATTGAGGGGAGCCAGGAAGCTCCTTTCTAGCTAGTTATCCTTGGGGGTACTCTCACTCTCTCTCTCTCTTTCTGTCTGTCTGTCTCTCTCTGTCTCCTCCCAACTCTCTCTCCCTCCTATTCTCTCTCTCTCTCTCTCTGTCTGTCTCTGTCTCTCTCTTTCTGTCTCTGTCTGCATATCAGCTTGTGGTCACCATCTTTAAAGCCCAGTGCTTAGGTCTCTTGGGGAGTAAAGCCCTGTTTTTAGCTGCAATAGTAACCGTGGCAACATTCTATAAGAGGATTTAGGGGCCAGAAGGGAGGGCCCCTACTCCCACTTCCTCATTTTACAGCTGATGAACTAAAACCTGGAGGAGGTGTGATGACTTACTGAGGGTCACACTATTTAGTAAGCAGTAGAGATGAGATTTGAACTCAAATCCTGACTCTAAATCCAGTGTTCTTTCCATACTCTCACTTCTGTAAAGTGGTGGTGGATAAATTGCTGGACTTGGAGTTAGTAGAAAACCTGAATTCAAATCGTGCTCAAATACTTCCTAGCTGTGTGACCCTAGGCAAGTCCTTTCAGTGCTCTGTGCCTCAGTTTACTCATCTGTAAAATGGGGATAGTAATAATAGCAACTCCTTCACAGGGTTACTGAGGTGATCAAATGAGATCATATTTGTAAAGGGCTTTGTAAGCCTTAAAATGCTATAGAAATCCCTTTTGTTGTTCAGTTTGACTCATGTTTGACACTCTATGACCCCGTTTTGGGGTGTTTTTGGCATTTCTTTGTCATTTCCTGCTCCGACTCATTTTACAGATGAGGAAACTGAGGCAAACAGGGTTAAGTGACTTGCCCAGGGTCACGAAGGTAGTGAATGCCTGAGGCCAGATTTGAACTCAGTTCTTCCTGACTTCATTCAGGTCCAGCACCCTCTCTGCTGCACCACCTAGCTGCCCATAGAAGTTCTAGTTATTATTATTATTAATAGGTTTAATTTCTCTTGAATGCTGACAGATTTAATGCTCAAAGGAATGAATTTCCCCTGTTCAAGTGTCTTGGTTAGAGACTGTCAGAAAACTCTTGGCCATCATAAGGACTGCCTCCTGAATCACTGAAGACATCCTTCACCTGTTGCACAGAACAGTTAAAAGTCTAACTTTGAGCAGTTCTAAATTAAAAGACACTTTGTGATGAGGGGCAGCGTGACCTCTGTCACTAAACCACACCAGTAGGTCTAGCCCTGTGCCATGTGGCACGAGCAGTGCCCTGCGGAGGATGCTGGTTCCTTTTTCTGACTTCCTTTCCTCGTGTATAAAATGAGGAGTTTAGACCAAATGATCACTGACCTCTCTTTGACTCTGTAGTTAAATGACCACCATATTGTGTTAATCCCAAGGCTGTGAGGGCTGCAGACAAGATTCTGCTCCCAGATGAGCAGTGCCTGAATTGTACATGGGAGTGTGGGTGTCCATCTTTGGGTACTGCAGGACAGTGACTCCAGTACCATGGACCGCAGCTTAGTAAAGGGGTAGTGTACACTTAAAAAGGCATTTGATCCTTTGTGCTGTAATATAGTAGAACTCACAACAAAATTTATTCTACAGTAGTAAATTACAAAATTTTATTGGATCATAGAGCCAGGGCTGAAAGAGACCATAGGCTAAGCCTTGAGTCAGACATGGGTACACCCAAAGTCAGCGCTCTTTCCACTACTTCTTAATATAGTGTGTCAGGTTAAAATATATACAAATCCTAGAAAACTCCTATTCATCTGTCACCAAATAGAGGAGTAAACCAGACTTTTCTAAGGATTTTAGAGTTGATAGCTTAAGAAGTATCTACTTCTAAAGTCATCAAACACTAGTAACTCAACAAATAACATTTCTTTCTTTTAAAATGATGGATTGTTTAATGGTGTTCGGAATTGTTGGTGCGTCCTCTAGAAACATGAAACAGATACCTTAGCAGCAATGTTCCTTCCAAAGCCATTGCTCCTTTTTAAATTTTTTGTTGCCTTCTCAGAGGGTGGGTTGGAGAGAACCTGGAGGAAGGAAGAGAAATTGGAACTCAAAATTTTTTTTAAATGTTAAAAATTAATAAATAATCATTTTTTGAAAAGTCATGCTAATAACACCAAAAAAATGTGTTTTGTTGCTTAAAAGTGAATGACTGAATTTCCAAACTAAAGTGCAAAATAAAAGGAGTCTTATTTGCTAGCTTTTGACTCATAAGTGGAAAAGACTGGGAAAGAGAAAGTCACTTGATTGTTTAGGGTGACAGGACTAAGAAGACTTGAGATAGTAAACTAAGTATCAGAAATGACTAAAACTGAGGAAGAAGATTGAGTAGGATGATGGCCAAAGTTGCTAAAAATTGGCAGTAGACCAATGTTAATTGTAATAGTAATAATAGCTAACATTGATGCAGCACTTACTGTGTCATAATGTACTAAATGCTTTCTAAATATTATTTCATTTGATCCTCTGAACAGTCTGGGGAGGTAGGTGTTAGTATCTCCATTTTACAGATGAGGAAACTGAGGCAGACAGAGGCTAAATGACTTGTAAGCTAGGAAGTGCCTTGAATCCAGATTTGTATTCAGGTCTTCCTGATTCCAAGCCTCCCGGATACTGATTAAATCTCTTCATATCTTTGTCTCTGTCACTTTTAACCTCTCTCTTCTTCCTTTTCCCCCTCTTCCCATACAAATAAATTACTGAATGTCTATGTTAACCTTCACTCCATATCTCTGATAGAAATAACATTAGTAATTTTAGAAAGTTAACTCATTCTTTGGATTAGCTTCCTGAGAACAGTATTTGAGGCAAAAGGTACATGTTAAAAAAAATTCTTTTTTGTCTCTTTGTTTGCCTTAGCCAAGAAAACTTTTCTTGGGCAAAACAAATCCTTCTGGGGCCCGCTGGAGCTGGTGGAGAAGCTTGTTCCTGAAGCCGGAGAGATAACAGCGAGTGTCAAAGACCTTCCAGGCCTGAAGTGAGTAAGACGCTGGATCGGGGCTTCCTAGATTAAATCTGTTGTTGCCCTCTCTCAGGCTGTAAAGCAAGACGGTATCTGGTAACCACCCCACCCAGGGTCATCACCCCCACCCACCTAAGTGTCCATTGCTTGTCACGACTGGGCGCTGGCGGGGAATTGGTAACGTGCAAAACAAAGAACAGATTGCAGCCTTTGAGGGAGAACTGACATTCTAGCTCAGATGGATTATCTTCATGTCAAGCCTTCCGTACCTTTCTATTTTGGGGGTGGATTGTTGATTAGAAACAGTGAACTTTGGGAAATTGGAATTATAATGGCAGTTTTCTAGCTAATGAGAAGAAAAAGAAATAGGTGGCTAGGAATCAACAGCAGAGAATTGAGAAGATGCAAAATTGTAGTTTAAAAAAAAAAAAGGCTGGGCCATTCCAGGAAATAACACCTAAAATTTTCTCTTGGGTGGGCTTCCCAGGAAGACAGGAATGGAAATCTTGGTAGAGAAGCATAGCTGTCCCCAGCAGCTATCTGAAGAAGAATCCAGAAAGACTCTTTATCATGGGATAAAGAAATCTAAAAAGAAGCAGAAGGAAGCTCAAATATCCACTCCAGAACTGAACCCAAAAATGACCAGTGGATCTGGGGAGAACCCTGCACCCAGTTGAAGTAAATGAGGAAGCCCTGGAGGTGGAGACGAACTGAGCCAGGGATGCCAGTGAGGTCTTTTGCAGATGGACCTGCTGCCAGCTGGCTGGCCCCTGAACATGGGACTCTCATGCCCGTGTGAGCACCAGCAGTCAGGGACCTGATGTGCCTCGGGCTGTCAGAACATAGGCCTGGATCAGAGCCAGCCCCCATGGTTCATTGAATGTCACGGTTGAGCTGGGCTGTGCACTCCTTACCGCACTGAGAGCCAAGGAGAAGACATGGCCAACTCCTTTATTGGGTGCATACTAGAGTCCATTATGGATCATGCAAGAAGGCAAAGAAAGCCCCATCGAGACTAAAACCCACGCTAGGTAACCAAGAGACTGATTCCGAAGCCGAGATCGAGGCAGAGAGTGGGGCCTGATACCAGCCACCCATCCAGAGCAGCAGCAGCACCCTGAATGTAGGGGGAGCAGGACTAAATGAGCTGGGCAGGATTGGGCCAAGTGCAAAAACCCCAGTCAGCTGAGACTGAAATCATGAATGAAAAGAAGAAAACAATGGAGAAGTACTGTGGGTTGGAAGAAACTCAAGAGGGAAACCCAGAAGAAGAGAGTAATCTTACAACAAGCAGGAAACCTTCCAGGTGAAAAATGGACGACTGCAAAGACTGCAGGAGTAGCCCCAAGAAAGGAAATGAGAGATCAAAAGAAAATTACAAATGAAACGAGTTGAGGAGGAAACGGAAGGAGAATAACTAGGAAGCACTCTATCCAAGTGGTGGATTCCCTGAAAAACAGAATGGAGCACTCAGAAGGCAGTGATTCCATGAGACAACAGGAAATATTAAAGCAAAATCAAGAGGTTAAAGAAAGAGACATCAGTTATTAGCTATAGAAAAACAACTGAACTGGAAAACAGGTTGAAGAGAAATGATTTTAAGAATTAGCAGATCCTCTGAAAGCCATAACTAAACCAAAAATCTGACTTCAAAAAATCATGACTATTTCAAGAAATCATAAAACTGCCCACATATATTAGAATCAGAGAACAAAGAGAAAATAGAATCTGCCTCCTGAAAGAATCTTCAAACTAAAAATATTTGAGAACATCATATCCAAAATTTAGAGCTTCCCAATCAGAGAAAAAATACTGAGAATAGCCAGGGGGAAACAAAAGAGCTCATACACAAAATGACCACAATCAGGATCACATAAAACTTAACAACAATTGTGACAAAGGAGGAAGAAAAATCTTGTAAAGTGATATTTCAGAAGGCCAAGGGAAGAGTTTGCAAACCAGTAGTAACTTACCCTGCAGAAGTAAGTAAAATCTTGAAGGGGAATCATGAGGTGGACCTTCTATAAAATAACCAACTTGCAATTGCAAGCATTTTTGATGAAAAAAGCAGAACCAGGTAAAAACTTGGAATGCAAACTTGGGAGTCAAGGTAAACCTAGAAAGACCAATGCAGTTGAAAAACTGGAAGAGGCTAAATATGGTGAAATACAGACATTTCACCAGAAGGAGAAGTGACAAGTATCCCTTCAATATGCTAATCTCTTCACCCAAAGAGTAAAATAAGACAGACACAGGGCCTGGGTGGTTTTTATTCTGGTTGGTTATAAGAGAAGGACAGCATAAGAAAAGTAGGTGAGACGTGAAGACTGGGGAAAACTTAAAATTTCACACCTGTGTGGCATGTTTAGAACAAGAATATGCAACCGTGAAGGGGCGGGCAGAGTGGGCTTCTATTGGCATTGCTCTTACTTGAATCGGAAGGACTAATGAGGTCACTTTTATATGAACCAGATGAAGGAGAGTAATAATACACACATAAACACATGAAGAGTTTGGTGTAAATAATACATTAGACTCAATAGCAAAACAAACAAAGAGAGAAACAGAATGAGTGGAGAATAGAATCAAGGAGAGGTTATTCACAGATGCAGCCAACCTTTGACTTCTGAGGGATGACCACAGAGTTGGTATTAAAAAGATAATTATCATATAAGAGTCAGAGATGGAAATCTGGGATTGGTGGACAAAAGGAGAGGCAGGAGTTAGGAATAAGCCACTTTAATTATGGATCATTAGTATTGATTAGGGGCAGCTGGGTAGGGCAGTGGATAGAGTGCTGGGCTTGAAATCAAGAAGATCTGACTTCAAATCCAGCCTAGACATATCCTAGCTGTGTGACCCTGGGCAAGTCACTTAAACCTTATTTGCCTCAGTTCCTCATCTGTAAAATGGAGACACATTGGAGAAGGAAATGGCAAGCCACTCTAGTATCTTTTCCAAGAAAACCCAATGGACAGAGTTCCTGGGGTCACATAGAGTCAGACATGACTGAACAATTGAACGACAGTTAGATTCTTTGTGCTTCTCTGCCCTCTTATTTAAAAACGGCTGTTGTGGGAGAAGGGGGGTCCATGATGGAGGGCTAGTCCTACCAATGCACTTCATTTTATGGCATTTCGTCCCATAAAACATAAGGAGAGCACAGTTGGTTACAAAACAGAAAATACCATTGTGTTATTGGTAATAAACACCCTTGAAACCTAAAGATTCAGAGCAGTCAGCTGAAGGGGTGGAGCCAGATTTATTATGCCTCAGAGAAATTAGCAGTCATGATCTCTCACGATGTCAGCGTAGAATTAGACAGAGTTAAAAGATAAGGAGGGAAACTAACTTCAGTTTAAAGACACGATATGTAATGCAATATTATCAGTATTTAATATACATGTGGATGTGCACATGCCCCCAAACATAACAGCTACATACTTAAAAGTCAATAGAATTATAGAGAGAAGTAGACACCAAAGTTATAACAATTGAGGATGACCAGTATGCCTCTTCAGACCTAGACGAGTCTACCCAAAAATAATAGTATTAGAAAGTCATCCCTCCCCCAGCCCTTCACTTATCCATAGTATCACCTGTAGAGTAGAAACCAGAAACCATTTATTCTTTGTAGAATCCACCTGCCAGAGTTAGTCAGGATTGTAAGAGGGAGTTGCCAACCAGTGTCACCCCAGGAATATGGGATTGATTCACTGTTAGGTAAACTATAAATATAACAGATCATATTAAGAACCAAATAAACTTTAAGTGATATAATTATATCAATAGATATTTTTAAAAATGTTTTGACACAGTACAGTCAGTACCAGATCTCAAACTCTATTACAAAGCAGTAATCATCAAAACTTTTTGGTGCTGGTTAAAAAAATAGAAAAAATTGATCATGAGAGCAGGTTAGAGACATGACCTAGAAGCAGTTAAATGTAGCAGCGTAGTGTTCAGTAAACCCAAGGATTTTGACTATTCAGGAACGAACTCAGAAATTGCCCACAAAGCTAAAAAACAGTCTGTCAAGAATTTGGTTTAAACTTTCATCTCGAATCGTTAACAGAATAAATTCCAAATGGACACGTGATCTGGATATGAAATGTCATAAACAAATTAGAAGAGAAGGAAAGAAGATATCTTTCATAATAATGGAGAGGGAAAGAGTTTTTGGAAGGATAAGGGATAGAGATGTTCACAGGAGATTAAGTGGACAATTCGGTAAAAACTGGAAAGTGTTCCCAGAGATAAAATGCAGTAAAAATTAAATGAAGATATCTTTATAGCAAATTTCTCAGATTAAAATTTGATATCCAGACTATATATGGAGTTAAATAAAAGCAGAATCTGTTCCCAAAAGATAAACAGTCAGAGTATGAAGAGGCAGCTCTCTAAAGAGAAAAGAAAAACAAGCTATGAACAGCCATCGGCAGTAATGTTCCAGATCTCCAAATCCAAATTTGAATAATAAGAGAACTTCAAATTAAGACAGTTCTGAGATTTGACCGTATTCCTATCAGATCAGGAAAAAATAATCAAAAACAGAAACTAGCAGTGGTTGGGAGGGCTTTTGCAGGATGGGCACACTGGTTCCCTGTTGAAGGAATTATGAAGTGGTTCAGCCATCCTTGTAAGCAGTTTGGAGCTGTCCCCAAAAAGTCATCACACAGCATGGGTTTTATCCCAAGGAAATAAAAAGAAAATGACCCATGTCTCCGAAAATGTCAACTGAAGTACTTTTTTTATTGTGTCCAAGAACTCCAGGCGAAGGAGGTGGCCATCATTTGGAGAATGGCTGAACAAACTGTGGTTTATGAATGTAATGACACATTATTGAACTGTAAGAAATGATGGAAGAGATAGATGCAGAGAAACCTGGGAAGATTTTTATGAGCTGATGCAAAGTGAATTGAGCAGAACCAGAAGACTACAATATTATAAAGGAAAACAGCTGTGAAAGACTTAAGAACGCAAATCAGTTCAATAACCAGTTGTGATTCCTAGAAGCCTAGAGATGAGAGGTATTGGATTCTCAAATGAGACAAGTTTTTAGAGGAACAGGGCGTGTGTGTGTGTGTGTGTATACTTTATAATAAGGCAGAGATTTTATTTTTGTGTTTGGATCAGCTATAGTGACTCTAAAATTAAAAAAGAAAGAAAAAGTGTTGATGACTCTTCTTTTAAAATAATCAGAAAATAGCAGAAAGACCTTTAGAAGGTGACGCAGATGAACAGGGGAGGTGTTGGAACTAATATGTTAAATTTGAAACACTCAAAAATAATGGTAGTGTGGGCACTCTTTTTTCTCTTCTTTGTATAGAGAAATATTTCTATTTCTTGATGTTTGTCCATGTCATAATAATAAAAGAAGACAATTTTAGAATATTCTCTTAAGACTTGTTAAGGGGGAATGGCAAATCTGCTCATAAAGTTAGAGTTGATTTGATTTTTGGAGGGTTTGGGGTTGGTGGTCTGGGGGTTTTGTTGTCACCTGCCCGTTCCATGCTGAATGTCTGGGGGGGGGTTGATGGTCTGGGGGTATTGTTGGTCACCTGCCCGTTCCATGCTGAATGTCTTAGCTCTCCCCTAGTCACTTCTGGTCAGACATTTGCAGTCAGCATTCAAGGAAGTCTCTTGGTGCAAATCTAGGAGGAAATTTCTCCTCTGGGTCATTTGGTGGAAACCAGAGAGGGAAGCACCCTGCAGGTAGAATGCTGCCCTGCAGGTAGAATGCTGCCCTGCAGAGCCTTCTGGCTGGAATCACTGAGGTCAGGATCCCAGGTGACTGAATGATAACATACCTCTCACCTTGCTTTTACCTGTCCTTTAGGACGCCTGTGGGCAGAGGGAGAGCCTGGTTGCGCTTGGCATTGATGCAGAAGAAGCTCTCGGAATATATGAAAGCCCTGATCAATAAGAAGGAACTCCTCAGGTGAGAGCCACACAGTGGAGAGCTTTGATGCTTGCCAGGGGACTTCATACCTGAAAGAAAGAGATTTGTGTTTTCCACTCACACATGCCTGGCAGCCTTCAGTGGATGGAAAGGTCTCTCAAACAAAACTGAATGCTGTATAATTATAATGACCCAGCTAGGCTGTGGGGAAGAGTTGAGAAAATTCATCTCCTTCCCTTCTTGGCAGGCGTGGGGGACTGTGGGTGTATAATACTGCATATACTGTCAAATATGGTTGCTCTGTTGGTTGATTTCACTAAAATGCTTTTTTTCCCCCTAGCTTTTTAATTCTTTATTTCTTTTGTTCATTCTTTCTCTTTTCTTCCCTCCCTCTTTCTCTTTCCCTTCCGTCCTTTGTTCTTTTACTTTCTTACCTTCCTTCCTTTCTTCCTTCCTTCTTTCTTTCCTCATCTAGGTCTTCCCTATGCCAGTGAAATAAAAAAATCCATCCAGTCCCTGTCTTCATCCCTTGTAAAGGATAGCTTAATGGCTGGGGAATAGGGGAAGGATGTATTTTTAAACGAGGGTTGTATAAAAAACAAAGATGTCAATAGAAAAGACTTTAAAAAAACAAACTTGTTCACCCCAAGCTTCTCACCTTAAAACAAGGAAGGCTTTTGAACCATTCATTGCATTGGGGTGCTTGGCAGTGACTCATAGTAATAAGACTTTCGGGAATCTGAGAAAACCAGGCAGCTGAGAGAGTGTTAGGAGAGTATTAAGAACAGAGCAGAGACTTATTTAGGCCACTGAACAGAGCAGCCTAGTACAGGTGGGGTAGAGAGCCTGGTGGATCCTGCCTGGGCTTAGATATGCTGCTTCGTCGCTGTCACCACTACCAGGCGCCATCTTTGCTAGAGAAAGTTCTGCCAAGCTTGGAAAACCCAAGCCCATTCACCACCACCCTGCCTTCCACTTAGTGGAGAGATAGAAGTATTCTAGTGCATCGTGCCATGTTTGGAATAGAATCAAGGGGAGGATCCATCCATAGCTCTCCAGGGATGAGCTTCTTCCATACCCTTTCTATTTCTTCCTTCACCTGGGATCATTCTCCACCAGGTGAGTCAGCAGATATTTATACAGTGGTTTACTATGTGCTAATGACTGAGGGATCAAAAGAACAATGACTTTTCTTAGTTTTTATTAAAAAAACCAAAAACCAAAAACCAAAACTTACTGTATAATTATGGAAGAAAGACTTAACCCTGGGGCAGCTAGGTGGTGCAGAGGGTAGAGCTCCAGCCTTGGAATCAGGAGGACCTGAGTTCAAGTCCGGCCTCAGATGTTTGACACTTAGCGGCTGTGTAACCCTAGGCAAATCACTTAACCCCAATTGCCTCATGAAAAAGACAAAAAAAATGACTTACCCATCACAAAACTGGTGATAGTGGTAGTATATGATACATACCATAAATGCGATAGGAATTCAGATGCTGGATGGGGGCCCTAGAACAGACCACCCATCAATGGCAGAACAGAGATGAGTCTCTTGACTTTGGGGCGTCGTTGACCAAGTGTAAGTTCCAAGCTGGATGACCTCTTTTTAAGATTCTTGGCTTGGCCACATTTCTCTGTTCTCCATAACTGTGTCTCATGAAAAAAACAATGAAGTCTGTACAGTGGCCAACAGTGATGGTCGTTAGCAAGGATGGAGCCAAGATTTCTTAGCTTTTGAAGGCAACAATGCTGACTGTGGTGTCCTCCATTTCTGAAGGCGTGGATCACCCAGGTTTTGAGGACAGTTACTGGGAGAACAGAAAGATCATAGAGCCAGGATGCTTCAAATTTCCTTTGACATACAGAGTAGAAATAGCTCATCCCTTCACTAGTGGAGGAGCTGTTTGTTGATCCAGCTTAGAGCTCAGCCATGTCCTTTGTTCCGTCTCCATTTGCCTTTCAGAACTTTCTCAACTTGCTGAGGGAGAGTCACCAAGCGAAAAGAACGGAAGGAAAAATCAGATCTAGCCTAGTTCATATCATCTCTGCACAGATTAAAACAATTAGGTGAAATGGAAGTGTTCAGATACAACAATGTACTTTTTTCTGGCTTAGTTAAGGTTATAGAATGCTTGAGAAGTTCATGTGTGTGAGCCTTCTCCTGGGTTTGTCTTGCAGTGAATTCTACGAGCCCAATGCCCTGATGATGGAAGAGGAAGGGGCAATCATCGCTGGCTTGTTAGTGGGTCTGAATGTCATTGATGCTAATTTCTGCATGAAAGGGGAAGATTTGGACTCCCAGGTATGTAGCTGCAGGCAGTCTGCACAGCGTTCTGGGTTAAATGATGCTCTCAGTATCTAGGTCAGCATGGTTCCACCAACCAAATTAAAGAAGAGTGTTATAAATGAGTCACAGTCAGGAGTCCTTCGATTAATTCTCTTGTGAATATAAGAGAGAAGGGACTTTACATAGACTCTAAGTAGGTTCTTTTTTTTTTTTTAATGCCTTCTGAAAGCCAGCATTTGATACACGGTCTTCTCTCTCCTAATTATACTGCATTGCTATAAATCTTCCCCTCTGCTGAATGAAATGCTAGAGATGAATCACTGTCAAGTTTCACCCTGGGGGAAGGAGAATTCAGGGTTGGAGAAGATGGAAAGAAAAAAGGTGGTATTTGAAAGTGAACACAGGATACCTCTCTGACCTGAATTAAAAGAAACAGGATGAAAGAAAATAAGAATCTTTTTTTCCTTCAATTTTTTAACATTTTTATTTAAAGTTTTGAGTTCCAAGTTCTGTTTTTCCCTCCCCCATCTCTGAGATGGTAAGCAATCAGATATAGGTTATACATGTGCAATTATATAAAACATTTTCATGTTAGTCATTTTGTACAAGAAGAGTCAAATAAAAAAAAAAGAATGAAAGTGGAAAATAGCATGCTTGAGTCTGTATTCAGTCAATATCAGTTCTTTCTCTGGAGGTGGATTCTATACTTCATCATGAGTCCTTTGGGATTGTCTTGGACCATTGCGTTGCTGAGAATACCAAAATCACTCACAGTTCCTCATTGAACAGTATTGCTGTTACTCTGTACAATATTCTCCTAGTTCTGTTCACTTCACTTTGCATCAGTTCATGTAAGACTTTCCAGGTTTTTCTGAAATCATCCTGCTTGTCATTTCTTATAGCACAGTAATATTCCATTACAGTCATATACCATAGCTTGTTAGCCATTCCTCAGTTGATGAGCATCCCTATGATTTCCAATTTTTAGCCGCCACAAAAAGAGTGGCTGTAAATGTTTTTGTACAAATATGTCCTTTTTCCTTTTTTGGATGTCTTTGGGATATAGGCCTAGCAGTGGTATTACTGGATCAAAGGGTATGCACAGTTTTATAGCCCTTTGAGTATAGTTCCATGTTGCTCTCCAGGATGGTTGGATCAGTTCACAACTCCACCAACAGTGCATTAGTGTCCCAGTTTTCCCACACATTCCTTCCAACATCCACCATTTTCCTTTTTTCTCATATTAGCCACTTGATAGGTGTGAAGTGATAACCTGAGTTGTTTTAATTTGCATTTCTCTGATCAATAGTGATTTAGAACATTTTTTCGTATGACTATAGATAGCTTTGATTTCTTTGTCTGAAAAGTGCCTGTTCATATCACTTGTATTTTTATAAATTCTATAAATTATCTCTTTTACATTTTGTAATGCTCTCTATATCTTCTTCGGTCTTAAATTGTTCCCCTTTCCATAAATCTGACAGATAAACTATTCTGTGCTCTCCCTTTTTTTTTTATTAGCTTTGAAAGTAGCATGCTGAATTTACTATACATTCATAAAAAATAGGCTATATATAATACAGATTGATGGTTTCACACAAAATTCTCTTTTTCTCTTCTACTTTGTACATGAGAATTTCATGATCTCTTAATTTGTTTATGGCATCACCTTTTATGTGTAAATCATGCACCCATTTTGACCTTATCTTGGCATACAGTGTGAGATGCTGGTCAATACCTAGTTTCTGCCATGCTGTTTTCCAGTTTGCCCAGCAGTTTTTGTCACATAATGAGTTTTTGTTCCAGAAGCTTGGATCTTTGGCTTTATCATATGCTAGATATGGTCATTTACTGTAAGTCATTTGTACCTCATCTGTTCCACTGATCCACTGCTTTATCTATGTCTTAGCCGATACCAGATTGTTTTGCTGAGTACTGCTTTATAATGTAGTTTGAGATCGGGTGTGGCTAGACCACCTTCTCTTTCAGAAAATGAGAATCTTAAAGAACACTGGAAGGAGGTTAGGTTTGGTGAGAAGGGGGCTAAGAGAAACACTAAGCGAAGATCAAATCCTCCTGACTTCTCTTGTCCTTGTACCCTCTTTTTTCATCCTTTTTATTTAGAGAAGTTACTTCTATGTCACACAAAATTCCAGTCCTCCTCAGCCCAGCTTTTTTTTCTTCAAGCATCACAATGTTTATCAATAGATACAAGTATTTGTGATCAGGACAGAAGCATGACTTGATAAATTAATTTATAAATTAATTTGAATTAATTAATTTCAGTACTAGGTAACATCTTTTTCATCGCAAATCACCAGTCTCCATCATGCCAAATGGTACAGTAGATAGAGCCTGCATCTGGAGTCAGAAAAACCTGAGTTCAAATCCTGCCTCAGACACGTATAACATTTCTGACCCTGGGCAACTCACTTTACTGCTCCCTGCCTAAGTTTCCTATGTGGGGATAATAACTTCCGCATTAGGGTTGTTGTAAGGATAAGATGAGATAATATTTGTGAAACACCTTTCAAACAAGATAATATTTGTAAAGCACTTTGCACACTGCAAAATGCCATGTCAATGTTGGCCTCATTCTTTCCTTTCTTCTCGTGCCTCTTACTCCTCCATTGTTTGGTCAGTTGCCAGATTATGTAAATTTTACCTTTTCTGTACTTGAAAGGTCACAACCCTAGTTCAGGTCCTTATCACCTGCTGCCTGGACTGCTGTGAAAGCCTCCTAATTGGTCTCCTGGCCTCCAGGCTTTCCCCTCTGCCATCTGTCCTCCACAGGGCCACCACATAGTGCTTCTGAAGTGCGGGACCTGCCATGTCACTCTGTTGGCCAAGGATACAGTTCAGACTGTTGTGATTGGCTTTTAAAGCCCTTCATGCTCTGGTTCTCCTTGTCTATCTTTCTGAGTGTATTGTAAATGTCATGCCTGGTTATGCCCAAGCAAGGTGTTCCGTCTTCTGTCTCCGTCCCTGTTATCAGGAACGTGTGCTCCCTTCTTGTTGCTACATCATGGAATTCCTGTATTCCCTTGAGGCTCAGTGAAAGTGCCGCTTCCCCCACAGGAGCCCAGATTCCCCACCTTCTAGTGCTTACCTAGATCTAGTGTGTTTCTGTTTTTTTCTCCCAGTAGAACAGCTTCCTTTTTGTCTTTACGTGCCTTGTACCTAGTCTGATTCCTAGCCTACTTTTTTAGAGTAGGTGTTTATTATAATAATTGCTTTCTGATTGAATAAGTGAATGACTGGCTAAAATTTTGTGTTGTGAAACTTAGGACCTGTTCAGACAGGGGATGGTGAAACTCAAATTTCATATTAAATCTTGGAAATTATTCTTCTAGGTTGGAGTTATAGATTTTTCCATGTATCTCAAGGATGGGAACAGCACTAAAGGCAGTGAAGGGTGAGTAAGACAAGGAGAAGTCGTTTTCCTTTTCCTGCTGCTTAATTTCTTTGGTTGTTGGGGCTCCATGATAAAGGGGTGGTCAGTCAGTTTCACAATGTTGGCCATGGAAAGGGCAACCATGCCTGAAGTCTTATTTAAAGGGCATTGTTTATTTAAGTCAGAATCTTTTCAAACTTTGTGGTCTCAGGGATTCCTTTACACTCTAAGAAATTATTAAGGACACCCCCCCCAAGCTATTGATATTTACCATATTAGAAATGTAAATGTTTTAGTATTATTATGAAAATAGTTTTGATCTTTAGGAGTCCTGAAAAGGTCTGGAGTCCCCGGACCACACTTAGAGAGTCACTGACTCAAAAAGATTTGTTCGCTCAGTGGATTGTAGCTTCTTCTCAATCTCATAAAACAGTACCCCTCCCTTTTATTATTAAAGTCTAATCATAAACTAATAAAAGTCTAATCATAGACTTTTGAGTTGTGTTAAATTTTTGTTCAAATATACATTCTGCAGCGTAGAAATAGACCAAAAATAGATGCACTACGGTCAGCTTATAAATGAATAGATGTGGAACAATTACAAAGATGTTTTTCATCCTGGTTGGGATAGCTCTTTATTGTGGTGTTCCCTGTTAGAGCTAAGAGGCATTTCCATCCTGGTGGAAAAGCCTTCAACCCAAGATTCTGGAGAGATGGGTTCTGATTATGACCGAGGTATGATCTCCTATAAATCATCTCACTTTTCTGGTTTTCATCCCTAGAATGAGGAGGGTGGATGACCGGCTCCAGGGTCTCTTTCCTATTATTCTGCAGTGGTCATCCTGTAGTTTGGGAAAGTCATGTCATGCTCCATTTCTCTAAATTAAAATCTGGACCTGTGTACCTTTGTACATGTTGGAATACTTAGGTCTTAGAAAAAACATCTTTTTCAGCTCCCAAGTTCTTTCTCCTCCTATTGTCCACAGAGATTTTACATGATCATACCGCCTAAAGCTGTAAGGGACCTTAGAAATAATCTGTTCCACATAGATTTTTCATTTTCTGGGTAAGAAAACTGAGTTCCAGAGAGTTTAAGGAATTTGACCAAAGCAGTGCAGGTTGTACGTGTCAAAGCCAGAATGTGAACCAACACTCGAATCCATTAAGAGATTTCATCGATTTTTAAATTGTAGTGACTTGGATACGTGTGTGTGTGTGGCAGAAACATGTACAAACATCATCAGAAATGCGAGATACGCAGATTTAAAGACATCTCCACCCAAATGGTCATAGGGCCTATTTGTGCCTGACCTGTAGTAGAGCCTTCCTGGCTTATATTGGTCTTCTCAGCCACAGTTGGATGCACTGCACCTGGACCCCAACATAGTGATGTCATTTTGGTCCTCTCTGATTACAGAGGACAACAGCGTTCATCATGCCATTACAGTAAATGATGACCTTGAAAAATCACATCACCCTGTTGTATCCTGAGTGCCAACCATAGTGTCTAGCATGTTGTAGGTATTTACTAAATGTTTGTGGACGCATTGATTGATTGGACAGAATGGAATAGACCCTGTTACACGTGAGAAATGGACTGTAATTAAATCATGTCTTGTGGCTGTCAGGATGCAAGTCCATATTTGCTAGGCGGAAGCAGTTCAGTTAAAGAATTAAGGAATATTTCCCTCTTACAACTAACAACCCACATTGCTCAAGTTTTTAAACCTGTAGAAAGACTTTATGAATTGTGGGCATTCCATGTGTGGAAACTCCCTTTCATCAGTATAGGACTTTTCTATAACTAGCCGTGGTTACACAGCCAGTGTGTGTCAGAGACTGGACCTGAACCCAGGTCTTGCCGCTGACTCCGTGCTAAGGCAAGTAGGCAGGACGCCAGGCTGCCTGGCTCACTGGACCTACAAGGGCATTGCGTCCTGGCACCCAGCTCCCTTGTCTGGACCTGTTTCTGTGTCATGATCCTAATTTTTTGTTTTGTGAAAAGGGAGGAGGGGAATCATCACTCTTGGGTCATTAAGTATTTACCATATATAATATTTATTGTATTATTAGGTAATCGTCATTTCTTTTTTTCCCAGAGATGGCCAAATTACTGCTATTTTGGATCAGAAGAACTATGTAGAAGAACTCAACAGACATTTGAAGTAATTAATCAATAAGTACTATTACCTTAACCTAAACTTTAATGGAGGGAAGGGGAAAGGGAAGATGATTGGCTGAAAGGTACTAGAGGTGGGGCGTGCCCCGTTCACAGGTGCTCTAGCCGGAAGCATCTCCTGGTCGTTGGTAATGTCCCCAGAGGGCTCTTGGCTTAAATGTGCTTCAGCAGTACCAGGAATAGACCCCCAACTCAGCCCAGGTGGGGTCTTTTTTTCCCCTTTGGTTATAAGCTTTTTAAGCAATTTAAATGTTGGCTCCCCAGGAACACTCCCTGGGCCCAATCAGTTCCTAAGTCTTCCTGTTTCTGCCTCCAGAAAGTCTCGTGTTCATCCCCCCTTTTCTCTCTATTCACGTAGCTACCACCATAGTCCAGGCCCACATCACTAGGTGCTTAGACGGTTCTAGCAGCCTTCTCATTGTTCTCCTCTCTTCAAGCTTTAGCCCTGCTCCACAAAGCAACCAAACTGATTTTGCAAACATTTAGGAGTGAGCATGTCCCTCAGTAACCCTAAAGGTTCCAATGTAAACTCTTCGTTTGGCCTTTCCATCCCAGCACAGTCCAGCTCCAACCTAGTGCTACCACTTTGTGATATAGGTGTTATTCCTTTCATGCACTCTTCTGGTCCAGCTCAACTGTGGTGTTGCTCTTCACTCGTTTCAGTCACATCCAGCTCTTCATGACCCCATTTGGGGTTTTCTTGGCAAAAATCCTGCAGGGGTTTGCCATTTCCTTCTCCAGCTCATTTTGCAGTTGAGGAGCTGAGGCAAACAGGGTTAAGTGACTTGCCCAGGGTCACACAGCTAGCAAGTGTCTGAGGCTGGATTTGAACTCATGAACATGAGTCTTCCAGGGGCAGCTAGGTGGTTCAGTAGATAGAGCTCTGGCCTTGAAGTCAAAAGGAGCTGAGTTCAAATCAGACAGTTGACACTTGCATCACCAAAAAGCAAAAAAAAAGAAAGAAAATGAGTCTTCCTGACTCCAGGCCAACAGTCTATCTGCTGTACCACCTGGCTGCCTTCTACCCAGCTGTCCTCTATGCTGTTTCTCAAACCCTGTATCTCCCTTCCCTGCCTTTGCCTAGGCTGTCCACCCAGTGCCTGGAATTGTAGCTAACCTCTGGAATAATATCGCCCTTGGAGGTTTGCAAAAGCTCTTTACCTCTATGGATCTCATTTGTTCTGCCTCCTAGACTCCCTAGTCTCCTTTCAACAAAGTCCAGGCACTACCTTTTCTACTGAAGCTTTTTATTACCTCTACCCCACCCCCAACCCCCAGCTGCTAGTGCTTTCCCCTCCCAAAATTACCTTGTATTTAGTTAATTTTCGAATATATATACGAATAGACTTTAAAATGCATGTGTTGTCCATCCTGATAGCGTGTAATCCCCTTGAAGGAACTGGTTGATTTTTTTCCTTTGCATCCTCAGTGTCTAGCACATAGTAGGAATTTAGTAAGTGCTTTATTGTTGGGTTGATCGTCTCTTTTTTATAATCGTCACTGTTGGAACTAAGTTCCCCCTGGCGTCGTCGTTTTACCCCAACTCTGGGGTTGTCAGATCAATGAACATGTGGTTCACCTGGTGTTTTCAAGGGGTTTTTAAGGCTGTAAAGGTATGTGACTTCAGCACTTGACCAAGGAGGAGAGGGAAGCCTTCTCTTTCAGTGGATCAGTCAGTAATTTAGCTCCTCGGGGATTTGTACACAATTATTCGTTTTGGGGTCTTTGGCCTTTCGCTGTCCTCCGCTTTACTTATGGACTGTAGTAACCATCCAGTCCGTCAGTATCATCATTAGTGCTCCCCACGGGCATGCGTTTCAAGTACTTGGTGCTCTGTAAACTATAGGTGGGCAAAGCATCATTAGTGCTAAATACAAACTCAATTTAATAAATGCTGAATGGACTGGTTGGTTGGATCTTTTGGGGGACTTTTGACAAAAGAATACTTTGTGTGCATTTGTTGAAACCTCAAGTGGCTGTCGTGGGGGTGGAGGGTGGTGAGGTGGGAGGACAGTAGATGGGGGAGGGGACACAGACCAGCTATACCAAACAGGAGCAATTATCAGTAATCAGTTATAGGGTCTTAATGGAGTTTCATTATGTCCCCCTACTAAATTATATTCTCTGTGAGGGTAGAGACCAATCTCTTATTCATCACTCTCATTACTATGCAAAGTAATATGCAGTCATCATCTTCACTGAATTCATGTTGAATGAAAGGACAATAATTTGTTAAATTAGATTCAGTATTTCCTTTATAACTTTCATTATGTCCCAATATTAAGTAACCTGGATCTCCACTGGGGGTTCTTCAAGAATATTATCCTTAAAGACAAATCTCACAATCGTTACCAATCTCAGTTCAGGCTAAGAGAGGATGGTAGTTATTAGTGGAAAGTGTGAGCATGACCTTACTAATGGCTTTGCTGATCATTCTTCCCTGACATTCATTGACTGTATTGTAATAGACTTCGGTGGAATGTTTAAGTTCAGTGTTGAATAATAAAATCATGCTTGCTGGTTGATGATAGCTATTTTTCAAATGATACCATTCAAATGTGCTTTTTTTTTCCTGTTTGACAGTGCAACAGTAAACAACCTTCAGGCCAAAGTGGATGCCTTAGAAAAGTCTAACACCAAGCTGACCGAGGAGGTAGGTGTGGTAAGGCATTTCTGGGGTGGTTGGGTCGAAGCATTTCTAACCTTCCTGGTCTTTGGTGTGTGGTTCATCTTGGATGCAAATTAGATTCACTCTCCTTTTGTTGAGAATTTTGAGTTTGTGGAACTTAGAAACACCTGCCCTCCAAAGACCCTATTCAGTCTTAATTTTTCAATCTAAGAAAACATTCATAGGTTCTAGATGGAGCGTGTAATAGTTTTATCAGTTGGCCCTTGTGTAGAGTGGCTGGTCAAGTTGAGGACATTGCTGATTGTAATTATGAGGCTGCTGTGTTCATGCCTAGGAGAGAGGTGCTGATAATTTATTTTTACTTTCATGCAAAATTGATCCAACACTGTTTATGCTGAATCAGTACTTTTGGTCAGACTATTGCATGAGTAATAATAAGAGCAGTTGACATTGAACTTTAGAAGCCTTTCCTATCACTTAGTCATTAAACCCACACACCCAGCAAAGAAAACCTTCTAAGCTTCTCTTAAGCATGCCACCTTAGACACTTATGAGATAAAGTATCCCTAGGCAAGTGACTTGAACCTCTCTGAAAGCTTCTTCTGCAAATTGCGGTAATTAAAACACCTAATTCACAGTTGTTGTGAGGATCCATTGAGATAATGCATAGAAAGTACTTTGCAACCTTAGACTGCTATCTAAATATGATCTCTTAGCTGGCTTTATTATCAAAACTCTTTGTCAAGATAACTTGGAGCTGCCCAGTGAAATCACTGAAGGGTATTCAAGTGGGTTGACATCCACTACCTCCTGCACCAAACTTGATGGTCTTACGGCTACCAACTTTCTTTCAAAGCAAATAGCAGTAGAAAAGTACTTCCAGTCTTAAGAGTGTGAACTGGGGGGGATGTGAGGGGGAGATCAGCAAAAAGCTCCTATGTCTGATTTTGTTGTGCTTTTATGCAGAAGGGGAATTCAAAAGGTGCTTTCCAAAGGCTGGGAAGAAAAAAAACCCCAAAAACCACGCCTAGTCTTCATTTTGAAGACTTCAGTCAAGACTTTGGCCAGTCCCATGCTTTATTAATTAAGGCATCAGGAAATACGTATTTCAAATGCAAAGTTCCCTGCTCCTGGGCTTAGCATTTATGGGATAATTAATTATCCAGTAAAATGTAAGACTATTTTGGGTACGATGATTTCCTCATTAGGTCTTTATGATTTGTTGGGGAAGGAGGAGAGGAAACAGATTAAGAACAAAAACTCATCTGAGGTCACTGGAAATGATGAAGCCCCTTCTGTTCTCAGTTTTTCACTTCCCTAATAAAAGAAGAAAACAGCATGGTTTGCAGATTTTTTTTAACTTCTTAAAACTGTCCAAACAAGTTACAAACTAGCATATAGTTAACATTACAGATTGGATTTTTTTTTCCAAAGAGGAGAAATTAAAGTAGAAAGCAGTTTATTACAAGTTAAATACATTTCAAGATTATATTTCAACTTAAACTATATCTATAAAAAGAAACATGCAAACATAGCAAAAAGGAAAATCCTCCCCAACCCTGTTTCCCTCCCCCTCCTGGGGCAGAAGCAAGAAAGTTGGTTTTGTTCCATTGTCCCCTTCAGGCCAGTTGCAGATTCTTCTGTCTTTAGCCATGTTTTCCTTCCTAGAAGAACTTAAATTAGTTGGAGATTTGTGTCTTAGAAATTCTGATTTTAAAATAATTTAATTTAATTTAAAAATTAAAAAAAAAGAAATTCAGATGGTGCAGAGAATTTAAGAGACATAAGTTATGCTCCAACTAATCCCAGCATTCAAACCTATTTAATGAATGTGTTGATATTTCCCCCATTCTTCAGTCACCCAATCACCTTCAGGCTAGTCATGTCCTGTGCTATGTTCTTTTAAGTCCTGGGGGGTTATACAGTGGCACAGGCGTGCCAGAAAATACTGGCTCTGTTTATCTGGTTGAGCAAACCCAAATCATCAAGGAAGGCCTGACTGGTATTCTTCCGCTAAATTGTAAAGACAAGGTAATTATCTATAATGGAGATACATTTTTCAAACAATCAGAACAGCTACTAAGAATTTGACTTCACCTTCCATGAGAGGAGCAGGAGAAAAAAGAAGGATGTGATGAACAGAATGAGAAGGAAATTGTGTTGGTGATTTTGAAGGGTTTGGGCCGGTGGAGGAGGTGACAGGTTGGTTTGGGAGAGGAGACTTAGAAAGCTCTCCCAGTGCAGAGACTGGTCTAGATTCCACTTCTGGGTCTTAGGAAAGGGGGTGGAGGAGCAAAATCAAGTCTTAATGAGTTTTGGTTCATTAAGTCTTGATAAGAATCATTAAAGACTTAATGAAAATTGGGGCAGCTAGGTGACTCAGTGCATAGAGCACTGGCCCTGGAGTCAGGAGGACCTGAGTTCAAATCTGGCCTCAGATGAATAACACTAGCTGTGTGACCTTGGGCAAGTCACTTAACTCCATTGCCTAGCGCGCTGCCTCCCCTCCAAAAAAAAAAGACGTAATGAAAATTAAGGTCGGTTGAGAAGGAAGGCTCAGGAAATAAAAACATAAGGTAGTTTTCAAGAAAAGGCCAGGTAAGTAAGAAAAGGTATGTGGAATGGTAAAGGGTTTGCATGTTATTTCCCCCATTAGATTGCAAGCTCCTTGAGGGCAGGGACTGTCTTTTGCCTCGTTTTATATTCCCAGCACTTAGCACAGTACCTCCCATATAACAAGCTCTTACTAAGTCTTGATGGATTGATGGATAGAATGAATGGGCAGTTGGGTCAGATTTGCCAAACTTGACCAGTGCAAGACAAGTGGATTGTAGTTGTCGAGGTGTTGAGACTAAGGAAATAAAATTGAGCAGGTTTGTCGTTGTCAACTCCGGTAACAAATGACCAGAGAAAGAGCTCACCCAGAGGAAGAGCAGATCCACTGGGGAGAGGAATTAGACACATGTGTGGGGCGTCCTCTGGTAGGAGACCCGAGGCAGCGAGGCTGAACCTTGCTTTACAGATTTGTGGCCAGACAGAGAAGCAAGCAGTGTGGTGGAGAAGGGAAGGGATCTTTGCTCGGTGTAGATAGGACGGCGCTGTCCAGTAACATAGGTGGCCGAGTTCCTTGGTTTTGTCATGCTTCTGTTTTCTTTGCTAAGGAGAACAACCTTCAGAATTCAGAAAGATCCTTGTTGCCCAGAACTTTGGACTCAATCTAATGTGATGAAATTCAATAGGGGTGAATGTCCTTGTGTGCCCAGAAAGTCAGCTTCACAGGTACAAGATGGAAGAGGCACAATTAGGAAGCAGCTTATCTGGAAAAAAAAAAAAGCAGAAAACACTGGAGGTTTGAGTGGACTGTAAGTCCTGTGAGTCAGCGGAGTGATGTGCCAGCTAAAAAGGCTAATTCAATCAAGGGTCAGCTTACAGGAATAAGGAGATGATCAGCCACTGTACTCTGGACAGGCCTCATCTCGAGGACTGTGTAAGAAGAACGTTGAGAACTAGGGAGAGTGTCCAGGTGAAGGTCCTTGAGTTCATATCATATGAATAGGGCAGTGGGTTTGCAATCAGGGCAACACATTCTCATGAGTTCAAATCTAACCTCAGACACTTACTAGCGATGTGTCCCTGAGTAAGTCGCTTAACCCTGTGTGCCTTAGTTTCCTTAACTATAAAATGATCTGGTGAAGGAAATGGCAAGCCACTCCACTAATCTCTGCCAAGAAAACCCCAAAATGGAGTCAGAGAGTCAGACATGACCAAAAAATGACTGAACAGCAGTAAGGATGAGTTGACAGAACTGAGGATGCGTAGCCAGGAGAAGAGAAGAGTCAGAGAGGGACACGAGAGTTGTTTTCAAGCATTTGAAGGACCCTCTTGTGGAAGGTGGTTTAGACCTATTTTGTTTTCCCCCAAGAGCAAAGGGGAGCAAAGAGGCAAGTTTAGATTTGATATTAGAACAGGCATCCTAATGATTAGAGCCACCCCGTGGCCTGCCCAGCCCATAGTGGGTTCTTCCTCCCACGGGCTCTGTGACCATCTTTCAGCATGTTATAGTGAGATTCCTTTTGGGTATGGCTGCCACGAGTCCTCTCCTGCCTCGTTTCTTCGGTTCTGCTACTGATCCCCAGTACAGTTGGTTCAGCAGCTCCACTGTATCATGTGCTCTGAGTGAGTGACAAATGTTAGCTGTTTCACGTCCCAGGGCCCTTGTGGAAGGAATGCTGAAGCAGTTGTCCAAATGCCCCAGATTCCTTTGGCCCATGGAGGTTCTGGGTCTGGAGCTGTCACTGATCAGTCTCCTGGAGTAGGTGTGGATGTAGTGCCTATACTGATAAGTAGGGTGTTCGGTATTTAATCATGCCCTTAAAAAGGACCAGAAACAGTATGCTATCATTCTGAATCAGTGTGTCTTAGGCAGAATTTCCTGTCTCTTCCTAAAATAAAAAAGCAAGGGGAAAAGAAAACTTTTTTCCCTCTAATTGTAATTTGTTTTCACTTGAAAATCAGGCCTGTGGTATAAATTATTCCTAAGACGTTATTAGAGGATTTTCCGAATATTTTATATGAGTAATACCCAAATCAGTGTTTTTTATAATCCTGCTTCTAAAATGTGACTTTAGTTCCCTCTCCCTACCTCACTCATTCTGACTGGATAAATTTTACTGAAATCCCGTCAGTTCAAGCTGACCATTTGTCTAGTTTATTGTAGAGAGCGTCTTTGTTCAGATGCAGGTTGGACCAGATGACCTCTGAGGTCTGTACCAACCCTGACGTTCATGTTGCTCACCATACCCTCCATTGGGACTTTCCCCCAGATCTCCTCCACCCTGGTCATGTTCTATAAATGGACTTCTTTAGACTGTTGTAGAGTTTGACTGAATAAAGACTGTTAAATTTTCTTTTGAATTTTCATCGGTAACCTTTGTTTTTAGCCTTCATTTACAAATGTCTTCCCCCTCCTTTCAAAAGAGATACTTGTGAAGTGGTAAACACAGTGCCTGGCACTTAATGAATGCTACTTCTCTGTGTCTCCTTTCTTTAATCAGAGAATACGCAGTGCTCCTCATTCATAGTTCCCCACCTTTGCAAAGAAAATGGGTTGATTGGGTACTCTTTCTTGATGGGCAGAATGGGAGTATTATTATTTTTAAGCCCCCATATGATTTTGTTACTTAATCTCTCAGGGCCTTAGTATCTTCCTCTGCAGAAGAAAAATATGGGACTTTGGGGGCCTCCAGTGGCCCCTTTAGTTATAAAGCTGTGATCCTCACATAGAATCTTGGGGTGTGAATTATAATCACGTAACATGAGAATGTTCATATCAATTTTTCATAGACATCTTAGTTGTGACAAGACTCGTTTGTAGCAGCTCACTCTCAGAGGATTTTGAGAAAATTCTTTATAGATAATGCAGAAAATGACATTTTTGTATAAAACTGCTCCAACCAACGAGAAGTGCTCGCTAGGTCTGTAAATTCCAAGTATCCAGGATGGGCACAGTGCATGAATTACAGATTTATTTGCAGTGACATCAACAGCAGACTGAGTAGACAGTAATGGTATTGGTGTTTCTTAGGACGATTCATTTTAATATGAATACATCTTGACATTCTTTTATAAGAGGTTTAAAACAATGATTTCTGAAATTCTTTTCACTTCTCTCTGCATCCATTTTAGTTGGATGAATGTCAATAAATTAAATCAGTTTAAATTTCATATTTAAATCTTCTTTTAAGTAGTTTTATTCATCTCCTTTTTCCTTTTATTGCTACTTAAAAAAAAAAAATACATCGAACAGGCTAGGCAGCATTCTACCCCAGTTGTTTGCTGTGTCTCTACCAAGGGGAGGGAAGGGTGTTTTATCAACTTCCTCTGAAATATTGATGATTATATTTAAGCTAAGCTGAAGAACCTTTTTGTATTGTTTTTATTTATATTATTTTAAAGTACACGAGAGACCTTTCTGTCACTGACATATTTGAGTTGTATTCTTAGTAGTGAGGCTACTGGGTCAGAGGGCATGCATGATTTTTTTTCTTCTTTCCTGAATTTTTGGACCAATTCATAGACTCTCCTTCCCCTTCCATCATTGGCTGTTTTTGCCCCTTTTTTTAAAAGTCTTTTTGATGGGTGTGAAGTAGTGTAGTTGAAAGAGTCAAAGGACCTGGGTTCAGATCTGAGCTCTGCCACATACTGCCTGTGTGATCTTGGAGAAGTTACTCAGCTTCTCTGGGCCTCAGTATCTTCATCGATAAGATGAAGAGTTTGGGTTAGGTAATCTCTGATGGCCCTTCCCTGTCTACATCTGTGATCCCAGGAGGTGAAATCTCAGAATCGTTTTCTTTTGCCATTCTCTTATTATTTAAGTGGTTGGAATAGTTTGCATGTGTTTGTGTTGTGGTTATTTGTAATTTGAAAGAAGTTCTTGGAAACTTCTTTGCCCACGCCCTTGGACTGCTTCACTGTTGAGACAGGCTCTTGGTTTTATTTGTTTGTGCTTCTCTTTAGATCTTGGTTATCAGGCTTTTCCCACAGATATTTGTAGGAAAGACTTTTTTCCTCTTCTTATTTTAGTTGCCTTAATTTTCTTTGTGCATATCTTTTAAATTTGTGATTTCCTTTATATCTTGTTTATTATGAATTCTTCACCTAAGCTCGTTTGCAAAAGCTGTCTCCTTCCATTCTTGTTTGAATTGTTTATATAACATTTTCTCCCAAGGTTGCATATCCATTTGGAGATTATTATACTGTATAGTGTAAGATACTAGTCTAAACCTATTTGCTTCCAAATTCCTTTACAGAGTTCCTGTGAGTTCTTTTCAAATGGATCTTTGCTTTAGTAATTTGCATTTTTAGATTTATTGGACATTGCTTTGCTATGATCATTTATTTCTGGGCCTTGCTCATTTTACCTAGTCAGTTTCGTTGATCTATTTTTCTATTTATTTTTCATCCAATACCAGATAATCCTCATGGATGCCACTTTTTTTTTTTTAGTTTGCTGTGTGGTAATGTTAGACCCCTTTCATTCTTCTTTTCATTGTTTTCTTTGAGATTCTAGACGCTACTTTGAAATTACATATTCTAGTAACTTTCTTTTAAAAATTCCTTATGGGGTTGAAAATAATTTTCTCCCGTCCCTTATAATGAACAAATGACCTCCTCTAGATGTCCTGTCCTTTTCCCACTTGTAACTCTTAGACGTTGTTGACACTTTTGTTACAGAAGCTTTGTTTTTGTTTTAAATGGAAGTAAGAATAGCACTTAGCTGTTGTAAAATGCATACTACCTGCAAGCATGCTCATCACTCCAAAGGAGAGCAAATGAAGTGAACAGCAGGGAACAGCACTGCTGACTGTTCAAGTCATTAGATAATGTGAAGTTTGGTGGGAAGTGATACATAATTGATACCAGTTGTGAGTAGAAAATTAAATCCGTAGAATATCTTGAATAGAGCCTAACTGGAAACTGCAGGAGTCCTCATCAGTGATAAATGGTTAAGTATATGATGTTCAAAGGCATTTAAGGTTTCAGGAGCACCATCAAATTTAATCTGTGTTCCACCAGACAGTTGTTTGATTTCTTTCCCAGCTGGCAGTTGCCAACAACAGGATCATCACGCTACAAGAAGAAATGGAACGTGTCAAAGAGGAAAGTTCCTACATACTGGAATCCAATAGAAAGGTGAGTACAGTGGTACCTGTAAAACAGACAAAGACCCCCAGGCCTGCAAGGACCCCAGCACTGCCCAAACTTGAACAATCCAGATGGAATTAAGAACGTGTGCGTTAAGTTGATTTAAGCAGAAAAAAGTGTTGTGCTTAGTTCTGACTGCTTAGCAGTGCCTGAAACCTGTTGCTGATTGATTGATAAATGGGGAAGAATAAAACTATTCCTAAACTATCAGTGATGCAAAAAAAAAATCCTCAAGTGCTGTTGTAGAGCAATTTGCCTCTAAAAGGCCCCAATTTTTATCCGTTTTTGTGTCTGTTTTTATTTTTTTCTTCCATATCTCCCCTATGAAATACTTGCTGTAATTTCTTACTACTCAGATATTATATATTGATTATAATATTATTCATACATATTCATTATATGTTTATTCATTATGGTATGTTCGTTATATATTATATGTTCATTATAATAAAAATACACTAACAGCCATCCAGATTTTCTGAATTTTCTATGTATACTGTAGAAAAGCATCAAACCAAACTTGCTAGCGGTGATTAAGTAATGAATAAAAAGTGCCGAGTAAAAGTTTGTCTAAAGGGAGAGGCAGAACAGACCTCAGAGTCTTTTCTGTGAACTAGTCTGCAATCCATATAAAGGCCCTGCCCTTGGGCCGTATCACCTGTTGGAGCAGCTGTATTGAACGCAGCAGGCAGGGGTGGCTTTCTTGACTCTCCTGTGTTCTGGGTAGCTAGTGATGCCATCAGATGGATAAGGGAGGGGTTGCTGTGTGCCCTTTGGGCTCGGTTCATATTCCCGGCACAGCTTTCAAAGCCTGATTTGGAAACTTTCTTAATTTGATAAAACTATCCTGTGATCTTAGAATGGCTAGAAAACTCTTCATCTCTTAAATATCAAAGAATATTGCTTTACTAGACTCTAAAAAGAGGAGTTCTCAACCACAAACTTTTTAAAGAAATTATTTTGAGAATTATATTTCAATATAATTGGTTTCCTTTGTAATACTATGTATTTTATTTTACGTATTTAAAAATATTATTCTGAGATGGGGTCATAGACTTGATCAGACTGCCAAAGAGGGAGTCAGTTATACAAAAAAGTTTAAGAAGCCTTGCCCTAAAAAGTCTCACTTATCTGAATGTGATCTTTGTCATCATTAGAATGGGGGCCCCAATCTGCATGCATTGGGTTGTTGATCTAAGGTTCTGAATGCTTGCTATTCTTTTAATGTCTGCTGGTTCATTGATTATTTTTTTTAATTTCAAGGTCAACAAGCAAGACAGAACTGCAGATGGGCAGGCACTGAGTGAAGCCAGAAAACATCTGAAAGAGGAGACGCAATTACGACTGGTAAACGGAACTTGACTGCTAGACTTCAGCCTTGCGTTCTTGTCTGACAGCTTACCCAGAGGCCTCTTGGATAGGCCCAAACCTGGGAGGTCATCTGTGGATCCTGTTTTTGTAGACTTTTTCAGATTTTGCCCTTTTTCTATTTTAATATAAAATGGAGAGGGAAATCTGGTTGTAATATACATTAATAGGTCTGTTAATGGCATTATATATTAATATATATGCAAATATGTGTATATCCAAGAGCTTCAGGTAAATACATATATATAATATATGGCATATATGTTATATTACATATATTATACAGGTGTATTTCAATATAATTGGTTTCCTTTGTAATCCTGTATATTTTATGTTATGTATTTAATAACATTATTTTGAGAAGGGACCCATGAGCTTCACCAGACTGCCAGAGAGGTTAGGAATCCTTGACCTATATGCACACACATATAAAACATTTTCTGTATCTATCTACAGGTGTCTCTCTGTTCTTTTGGCGTATCTATACACACGTTTGTATCTTATAACACATGAAAGATATATTATCATGTACATATTATAGAGGTGGCTAGGTGGCATAGGACAGAGCTTCTTAAACTGTGTGTCGTGAAATTTGGCAACAGTAAAAGATTTCTGAATGTGCAACAACCAAAAATTAACTAAAAATCACATGTGTAGTGAATTCGAGGTGTTTCAGGCAGCGTTTGCCTGTGTTGCATTGCACAACTTCACTGCAGCCTTGGCTCTGAACACAAAGCCCTCATGCCCTCAGGCCACGCGATGCCAACAGATGTTGCTGAAACACAGAAAGGGGTTGCAAGTAGCGCAAGTTTAAGAAGCTCTGGAATAGTGGATGGAGTCAGGAAGACCTGAGTCTGAATCTAGCCTTAGAACATTAACTGTGGGTCATAGGCAAGACACTTTTTTAAAATATGAAATTAAAATTGTGTTATATTTAGTAGTTATGTCATTATAGTTATGTATTTATAAATGTTAATGTATTTTATAATATATAAATCTTAACAATGTGATAAGAGTGACATGAGATTTTTCATTATTGATAAAAAAATCTCTTGTAATTTTCATATTGATAACTTATCAAAACTAATAGACATAAAACAATAATGATACTTAGCTACAAAAAAGCAGTTGTTGTTTTTTTCCACCTGTATTAGAGTCTACAAGCCATTAAGTATAAAAGAAAAATAAGATAGCATTTGGGCAAGACACTTAATTCTCTATTTGCCTCAATTTTTCCCCCCCTGTAAAATGAGGCTAAAAATAGCACCTGCTTCCCAGGGTATAATAGTAAAGTGCTTAGTACAGGGCCTGAAACATTGATGCTGAAAACTGCTTATTTCCTTCTTTCCTGTATATGTCTCTTTCCATGTGTATGTATGTATATAATATACACATACATATATATGCACATGTACAGGATGTCCCAGAAGTCTTACTGCACAGCTTTTACTTCTAGTTTTTAATTATACTTATATATTTATTTTAATATATCAACTAAATATGAATATTTAATATATTATGTTTTAATAATTATAACTTATTTTAATTACATTTATATATGCTTATTGCTTTTAGTTATACTTGATAACTTTCTTATAGCTTTTAATAGCTTAAAACTGCATTAACATTTTTGAGACACTATATGTATGTGTTTCTGCATATAGATGTGGATATAAATATAGATATAATATTTTGCCATAGAGACAGTATCCATATACATATGCAGAAATTTGTACCAAAAGATGGAAACAGCTCAATTTTACATAGCTCTTATCATAGTTGATAAAGGTTTTTCAGTTAACCAGAACAACCGTTCTTGCTCACCCAGATATACTCTGTTCTCAGAAAACATAGCCCCTAATTCAGTATGTTTTTAAACTTGTCAGTTCATTTGAATTCATCAGATACCTGCTGAATTCCTAGAACCGTAGGATATGATTGACACACCAACCCTGGGTTCCCATCTAGCAAGCGATAGAAGCCCTCACCACCAGTGGTTCATAATTTAAGCTCTAATGTGAACACACAGAAGAAAAACTACAGCGTTGTATGAAGGTTCAGGGTGGGGTGAGGTCAGGTCCTGGGGGCCCGAGAAAGCTTTATGAAGAGCATGGTTTTAGAGTTGGATCAGAAGAATGAGATGGGCCAGGATAGTCTGATTGGGAACACTACCAAGAATGAAAATTGTTTTTAAAAATAGGTCTCCTTTGACCATATGCTCAAGTACTACTGACTTCTAGCCAGCGATTTCTTTGGATTCCATTTGGCTATCGCAAGATGAATGCCTAGCATAAACAGAGGTTTTATACTCTATAATCTCATGCCCACTTTTCAAGGATCTGCCTCTCCCTTTACCTGCAGTGGGCCTGTTTGGTTACTTTGCCCTGTTATTTGCCCTGGGCTTAACTCCTTTACTTTCCGGGCAGGACGTGGAAAAGGAATTGGAGATGCAGATCAGCATGAGGCAGGAGATGGAGCTGGCCATGAAGATGCTGGAGAAAGACGTGTGTGAGAAGCAGGATGCCCTCGTGTCTCTGCGGCAGCAGCTAGATGATCTCAGGGCCCTCAAACAGGAGCTTTCCTTTAAGCTGCAGGTGAGGGAGGGGCCCTCTGAGGAACAGAACTGCCCATCGTCTCTGGAAATTGCACTAGAAGCCCTTGTCTGGCTTCTTATTATGAGTTATGAAGGAAAGCCTGGGTTTCCACAAGGAGGCTGGACCTTTGGAAATTTTAGTAATTATCAGACTCCTATATTACTCTAAAACTAGGGTCGTGACCACTTTCTAAACACAGACAGGGAAAACCCTATCTACCCCATCTCTATTTTTTTTTCTGTATTTTCCCCTTCTTCCTCCATAAAATCTTTCACATTCATCCATCCTTTTCTCATCCTTCATACAGCCACTACCCTTGGTTAGGTCCTCATCACCTCTTTGCTGGGCTATTATAACGGCCTCTTCATGGGACTCCCAAGACTCAAGTTTCATCCTGTACACAACTGCCATATTGCTTTTCCTAAAGTGTAAATCTGACCGTTGACGTTCCCCTCCTCCATAAACTCTAGTGGCCTGTAGGATTAAACACAAACTGCTCTGATTCTTCTTGACCTGGTTACAGCCTGTCTTTCCAGCCTTATTGTACATGTACGATGTAAGCCAGCTAGTCTGGCCTTGTTGCCATTCCTCATCCACAGAGCTCTGTCTGGGTCTTTGGCCTGGCTGTTCCACATGCCCAGAATGTGCTTTCTTCTCAACCTCTGCCTTTTCTCCTTCAAGGTTCATGACCCAGCTCAAGTCGCACCTTCTAAACAAGATCTTCACTGATCCTCCCAGTTGCTAATCCCTCTCCCTTTTCCATCTTGTACCTAATCACCGAGCCAACCAGCAAACAGTAGGCACTGAAAGTGCTTGATAGACTTTTTTAAAATGTCTTTGGTTTTTCTTTTTAGATTATCTTTTACGTATCACTTTTATTTCTATATAAACTCCTTTCTAACCTTCACCAAAGGTCCCTTGTAGTAAAGAAAGCAAGAAAAGCACTTGAGAAAAAGTTGACCAACACATCTTAACAGTTTGGGTAATATATCACACAATTTGTCCCCCACCACTAAAAATATGACAAATGTGTTTTTTCCTCTTATCTAGGGTCAAGTTGGCCATTTTAGTTGCATTGTTTTTTATTCTTCGCATTTTATTGTTGGGATCATCATGGATGTGGATTCCAGGTTCTTCTTTCTCCACCCTGTATCAGTTCATAGAAGTCTTCAGGTGCTTCGTTGTGTCCTACATAATCATTTTTTATATTGCAGTAATACTTTTTCACATTCATAGTTGTTTAGCCATTCCCCCAACTAATGTGCATATTCTTGGCTTCCACTCCTATGCTACTGCAAAAAGTGCTTTTTAGCAATATTTCAGTCTCTATTTGATCATTTAATGTTTCTCATGGTGAACTTACCACTCGTAAGAAGAGGCGTGGTCTCTACTTCTCATGTAATCATTCAGTCCAGAAGGCATATTTGATTTGTTAGTGGTTTACTTTCCATAGAGCTTTTTTAAAAATACTTTTTCTTTTCTTTTTTAAATTAACAGAGTTCAGATTTGGGAGTCAAACAAAAAAGTGAATTGAACAGTCGCTTGGAGGAGAAGACCAATCAGATGGCTGCTACTATTAAACAACTGGAACAGAGGTAAAAGTGATTTTTCTTTAACAAAATACCCTGGGATCATTGGTCAGGTTAGTGAAGGTTGTGTACTTCAAATAGACAGATTGCTCAGCCATTGTTTTCCCGAAGAGCTGGAGAAAGGAACACAACAGGCCCTTCGAGGGTGAGAACTCTGGTTGGTTGGTAAGTCAGGTGTCTGTCAGATGATTAAACCAAAGGAAGCCAGATAACAGGCCTAAAGTTTATTTGTGCCTTTTCCAAGATGTTTTACTGAAATCATTCTTAAGAAACTGTGTCCATGAGTATTCTCTACATTATAGTTAATAGCAATATTAATTAGTGGGGTAAATTTCACTTGTTTCAACGAACTAAAGCTTCTGACAGTGATGAAAGTAATGGTTAATATTCAGAGAAGTTTGAAATTTTATCCATATGAAATTCATGAAGATAAATAACGTCGGTAGTCTGTTGGGAGTAAATTAGTTCTCACGTTGCAAAATATCTTATGGTTTGTCCCAGTATTAAGTCAGTGAGAAGCTAAGTCTGCAGCTCAGTTTAAGAAACTAAATGACTCACTGCAAGTTACAGCCAATATGTGTCAAGAGCTGGGTGTGAGTCTTGGTTTTCCTTACTCTTTGGCCCACGCTGTAAACTATACCATATTGCCTCTCCAGCTCTGTAACAGTGAGATGTATTGGTGGTGTTAAGCAGTGATACTGAGAAAAAGCTGACTTAAACATTCTTTACATTCCTTTGAGTAAAACGGTCACCAACTTGAACCCTAGAGCAGTGGTCTCCAAATATTTCTGATAAAAATAAATTTTTAAAAATTTTCTGCATGCACCTTCAATTATATGTATGATTAGACATGCACTACTACATAAATACATTTTAAATGTACAAAAATAGAAATTTTAAAAGGATGAAAGATGAATTGAACATGAATGGTACCAAAAAAACTAATTTGTTCTCACTAAAAATATTAATGTCAATATATTTTATATTGGAGTACATCTTAAGCTGATGCTGATTTTGTGACAAAATCCACCAATCACGGACAAGCGTTAGTTGAAATTTAGCTAGTTAATTTCTGTTACCCCTAATGTCAGTCATTTGTTTTCACAAACTGATTGGAAGGTGTGGCATTTTTTAATATTTTTTTAACAAGTGAGTTCAAAATCCATCCTTTTTTGGGGAGACTTGCAAACTGGTTAGAGAATTAGGTTTTCTTATATCAGTGTGCATCTATGAGGTTTTTTATAGGTGACACATTTTAACCACAGAGCTTAATTTTGAAGCATTTTTCCAATCGTCATAGCTTCATTCTATCAATCATTAATGTCTCAAGTCACAATACTCTCTTCTAGTGAGGTTCGTTGTTAACAGTAATGGTTATAAATCTGTAATCCAAATAACCTTTATAATTCTGAAATTTTTGTCTGACCTTGTCTAATAACATTGTTCTCATAATATGTCTAATATTGTAAATTCACTTAACGAGGCTTATGAGGTTCCCTACACTCATTTGTAGATCACCTCTTGGTTCTGACTCCATACCATGTGCTACTTAACTCCTTACCATCTACTACTTGAGTCATTACCATATTCATTACTGAATTGTAACAACTCCATCAGTTAATAATTAGCTTAGGACCCTCACTCCAGTTTGTTAACTATTGTTTATTTAACAAACTGGAGAAACTTCTTTCCCCATAAGCAGCTGTACATCTCTGTCTATAAAAACCCCATCTCTTAGAATTAAATAACTATTAGAGCTACTTTCTATATAATTTATTAACTAGGTAATCACTGCAAAAATATAAATATTTACAATGTCATCACTGTGAGAATGATCACAGCTAGTGTGACTTCTTACCATTACTTTAACAGCTAGAAGTAGTTTTCCTTTCTTCTGGAAACACAGTTCCACCATTCAGTTCACTCAAGATACCAAGTAAACAAAATGTCTTAAGAATCTTTTTCATCTTAGAAACGTAAAAGTAATTATAGTTTTATCAGGAAAGAAAATATCTCCATCTTCTTTTCTCTGTGTTCTCCAGCTGTTTTCTAACTATGACAGGAAGTTTCCTCAGTTTCTTTGAAGCCATCACTCTGAACAGATTTTTCAGACTGACCATTCAAACTGCTGTTTCTATAATAGTCCATTTTATTCTTAAAGATAAGTAACAATATCTGTAGTCTGTGGGAGTAAATCAACTCTCATGTTGCAAAATGTCACAGTATACCAGAGTCAAATAAATGAACCATTAACAATCCCTTTTGCTTGTGGAAATCTCAGTCTTCCTACTCGCTGCCTTGTACACTATTCATAAAACACAACCACCTAACGAACAAACTGAGTAGGGTCACTAGAATCAATATATTAAATATTTGTAAAGTATTTTGGTTTTTTTTTTCATCCTTTTAAATTAAAAAAATAGAAGTTCTAACATTTTCTTTGCCACGCCCGAGTGGGTTCCCCTGTTTATCCCTACTTTGGAGACTCACTGATTTAAATAGCATTAGTATGGATTTAATAGTTCCAGATTGGGAGAGAAATTTGAAGCACATAATGTGAGTGGCACGAAGATCAAGAAAACCTTTTGGAATTGAATGCAGACCGGCAACATGCTTCTGGATGTGATTTCTAACCAGATTGATTTTTTAGTGTCTTATAGCCTTGAACTATTGCATCCTACCAATTTTGGTCTGGTATGTAGCAGATAAAGCTGAATAACAAGAGCGTTTCCATCTAACACTTAAGCTGACTCAATCTTTTCTCCTCTTTCCTTTTTTTTTTGTCCGTTTTCATATTCCCTTTTCTCTTCCATTTTCATTATGATTTCTTCCTAATCCAGCGAAAAGGATTTGGTGAAACAGGCAAAAACCTTAAATTGTGCAGCCAATAAGCTGATTCCAAAGCATCATTAGGGATTTTGCAGCTGGTCACCTCACAACTCTCACAACACAACTTAGTTGCAAAAGAGGGAAATTGGAGAATTTATTATAAGTTTAAACTTGGAGCTCCTGTGTAAAAATGTCATCCAAACTTGACTTGGGATTTGTTGAATTTTTAAAAATCTTTTGGGTTGGGTTTTCTTTCTTTTCTTTTTTTTTTCTTTCCAGAATTAGAAAATTTGGTATAAGTTCCCTGATTATTTGTCAATAAACTTTGTTAAACGACATCTGAGTTGGCCAGTAAATAAACATACCATGAAAAAAAACCAACCCAATAAAATAAGGCATAAGGAACTAGAGGCTGTATGTATACTGTTGATGCGTATCACCGACATCACAGTCTCTGATGTTGTCAGACCCTAAGTGCAGAGTTCACATCAGGGTGCGGTAGGCCGGCTCACAGGCAGCCAGACTCATCTTCTCTGTTCTCCCATCACATTATTTGTCGTGAAAGAAGAGATGGAGAATTTGGAGCCTTGGGTGTTTCTGGGACTAGTTGTGTGTGTGTGCGTATGTGTGTATGTATCCTAGATCATTATGCCTAAGCTTTTTGTTCATCACGTTCAATCGAGTAAGAATAAGATATCTCACCACAGTCCTGTCCTCCATAACTAAGACTGCTCGCAACTCTTTTGCCTTAGTGACTTAAAACAAATAAATGAAAGCATCCTTCACATTCCTTTCCAGTGCATAGAGACAAGCTGTAATAGCTTAGGTGTCTTAGAGTAACATGAACCATGGAAATTTCAATAAATCCCTTCTTACCTTTGCATCACCTTCTACCTCTCTTCCCTCTAGAAACTACAGCAGTTTTTCCTTTCTTTGGGAATCCCACAGAGGCACTATTGTACCAGAACCCTCCTCTTCCAGGAAAGGGACAGGCTGTAGAGTCTCTCTGCTATTTCTCCTGTGGTCAGGAGGACCATTGTAGCCTCATGGAGGGCCATGAATACACCAGTCCTTGTCTCAGAGTAGCTGGCAAATTATAGGGGGAAATGACATCGCTGCCTTTCAGTCAGATATTTCTTACTTTTTTGCTTTTGAGTTTCTATCACCTAACAAAAATAGGAATTTGCCGAGGTTCCTGGCAAACTAATAAAAGACCATTAACGTGTTAGGCAAACATTTCAGATGTTAACACAGGAAAGAGTAGGGGAATTGCAGAGTTTTAACACTAAGTTGCAGTTTTAAAAATTTATTAACTGGGAATAGGGGTAGAGGCAGGAGGAATGCCCCCCACCCCCAGTAGGTTTCCATAAGGAACATTAACAGGTCTCTTCTATCTAATGTAAAAAAGAGACCACAGACCAAGGCCCTTTCTTGGATTTAGGTTGTAAATAATCCTATAAATAAATTGCTTTGAGAAATGGGGGTTTGAGTGGGGTGGGCTTTTCGTAAGCGTTTTATTCCTTCAGAAGGTATTGGTGACATTTTTCTTAGCTTGGTTTTGCTGAATGTAAAGTGAGAGATTTAAAGAGCTGGAATACAAAAGAGGCCCTCATTTGGAGCATTTCAGCTCCCTTTGGGGGCTGGTAGAAGGCTCTTTTATGCCCTAATGTTCTGGCGTATACCTTTTCACAGGGTATCCCACGGGCATAAACTGGCGGTCAAGCCTATTGAAGGGGAAGGTGCCTCTCGGGGAGAGAGCCTGTGGTTTTATTTCATCCTGTAATTTTACTTAGATAATACAATAATACTCATTTCCTCAGCTGTCCTCATCAGCCTTTTGTGGTGGCGAATTTAAATTAGCCTCGGTTTGAGATGTGTAGTGTGTTTGGGGGAGTGGAGGCAAGGAGGGGAAGCATGGGAAACTGCAGGCGACACATGACCCTTCCAGGGTCACAGGCATTGTGCTCAGTTGGTCTCTGTAGAGACTCTCTGATACCTCTCCTTAGACCGTGCAGTATGGTTGCAAGATCACAGGCGATGGAGAATAAAAGCCTTCGTCGGAGGGTCCACAGAGGCTAGGATTGCGTGTACTCTCCCAGGGGTGAAAAGAGGGCTTTCCTCCTCAGTGGAAGAACGCGCTTCCTGACAGGTCTTTGCTTTATAGAACGATCTCAGAGCCTGGCCAGTGCAGTTAAGCCAAGGTGTGATGATTGGGGCGGGGGTGGGGGGAGTGTATAAGGAGGGCTGCCCAGTGTTGCGAGTTCTGATTACACACGTAAAGCTGAAATGTGACCTAGAACCACATAAGGAAATCAATGAAAGAACGGTTTGACTTTGCTGTGTATTTGAGGTTTGCTTTTGATCTGGATTTCTAAAAAGCAATGTCTTGTTGTTGATCATCTGATGGCTGTAACATGGAGTAATCGAATAAAAAAAGGCTTGGAAAAGCAGCTCCTCTTCTGCCTGGTTCACCTACATCTTGCTTTCTTCAGAGTGTTTTTTCGTCTTCCCCATTGTTTTATTTTCTTTTTTACCCATAACGTCTGCTTTATTCCCTTCTGTGACTCCTGACGTCAGTCCGTCCATCTCTCTTTCTCCCTTCTCCCTCTCCTCTCCTCTTCTCTCCTCTTTCCCTCTCCCCCAGTCTCTTTCTCTCTCCCTCCCTCTCCCATCCCCCTCTCTTTTTCTGTCTCTCTCCTCTCTTCTCTTCTCTTCATTCTCCTGTCCTCTCCTCTCTTCCTCCTCTCCCTCTCCCCTTCCCCCCTCTTCCCTCTTTGTCTCTGCGTTGTTTTTTTTTTATTTTGTGGTCTATGTTTGGTCTTCCTCCCCACCATGGCTTTTGTTTTTTATCTAAGTTCATGTGGCTCACATCCAGATTGCGCCAGGCTGAGCGAGGCCGCCAGTCTGCTGAGGAAGACAACCGCCTTTTCAAGCAGGACTTTGGGGACAAGATCAACAGTCTGCAGCTGGAAGTGGAGGCACTCCTCAGGCAGCGGTGAAGAGAGGGATCTGGAGTCATGGGGTTGGAAGGGTGGTCTTTGGGAAGTCAATAGCAAGGCAGTGGGAGGTGGGGATGGGCTGGCGTGGGATGCAGTCTCGCTGGGAGAGCAGTGGAGAGTCTTTCTCCAAGTTCAGAAGACTTGAGCATTCTTTGTTCATCTAGCCTTCAGCTAGCATCATTGGAAAGTTTAAAGACAGATAAGGAAACAAGGGCAAAGAATAGCCAAGTTATTTACATTCCTAGAACCCAAAACATGTCAGAGATAGACTTGGGAAGACAGTGGGAGGCTCAGTTTCTGGCTCTGGCCAGTGTTACGAACTATACGATAATTTGGTATGTAGTTGTGTCGGGGAGCAATTCCTTTAAGAAGAAGTTCTTTTAATGATGTGAAGTGGGGCTCTGGGTACGACATTTTCTCATCGCAGACACTGGAAAGGTCTACATGCTGTTGTAGGAGGGAACCTTTTTTGTGGCATGATCCCATCCCCCCAGCGTGGCAGTTTGGTGAAGCCTCTTGACCTCTTCTCAGAATATTGTTTATATTGCAAAAAGTAAAATATATAGGATAACAAAGGAACCAATCATAGTGAGATGCAGTGATTGAGATAATTTGAAAGGTCATAGGCAGCAGAAGGACCAGAAATTTTAGAATGTCTCAAAGGACTGAATTTCATCCATTAACACAGTGCTTTTTTTTTTAATCCATAAGAATACAAAGAAAATAGAGATAGTAGGATGAAGATTTTTGTTACGAAGTAATAAATATTTTTGCATCAGATGACATGTCTGTTCTATCTAGTGTTAATACCCCTTAAGTCATAAGCTCTTTTATGTGCATTTTAGAAACCTTAATGTCTGAGCCCTCAGCATTTTCTATCCCACATTAATGTTCAGAGGTAGCCCTGAAGCCCTTTGAGATCCAGAAGTAGCTTTTGAGTCATTAAAGAAAGATTAAATTATGTTCAGTAATGGTTTCCTATTAATTCTGTTGTGTTGTATAGCAGTTTCTCACAGATCTACTGTGACATGTCTCTGATCACTTTTTACTCACTTAGAATCTATGGCAAGTTTGTTGTACTGATCAGATTTTGAGAGAAAGAGTCGGTACACGTTTTCTGAGACTAAGAATTTTTTTTAGTCTAAATCCTTGGACATACTTGAATTAATTGGTTTATTCCTTGTGCCCTGAGTGCTAAATTTCTCACTTTAAGGGGAAATATGTTCATTTTTCAAACTATCTGCATGTGAGAGGGGATGTGTCTTTTTCATTGTGAAAAAGAAGAGGAAAAGGTTTTGGAGTTTTGTTGTTGTTGTTAGGCGAACAAGATTTTTAAATCATCCTTAGGTTTTGGGTTTGGGTTTTTTTCGATGGGTACCACTTGTCAAGCTGCAGGAACTCAGTCTTCTTATCCTAATCCTTTTCTCCTTTTCTACCAGGAGCCAGCTTGAGCTCGAGCTGAAACGGGAAAGAGAAAGAAGATTACAAAATAGTCAGCGTGCTCCAGAGAAAACCCCACCAAAGCCAGAACCCAAATTGGTAATACGTAATAGCCTCATCTTATAGCTCTTTATCCATGTAAGGTTAACCTTGAGCAAGCTCTCAGTGAGGAGGGGGGGGAATCCAGGCAGAGGAGGGGGTGTCTTTGCAGTATGCCTAGTCAGTGTCACCAACTTTTCTCTTCTGGCCTTGAGTATAAAGAGAGCCCAGGCAAGTTGTCCATCTCTTAGGCCCACCTTTCAGAATCTTCCCATGGAGGATTATCCCATTGCTATCTGGGTCCTCTCCTTTCCATCATGAAGCCGGGGAATACTTTGGAACCTTCAAAGAGAGTGAACCTGTTCCTTTGGGGTGTTTAGAGATCTGTGTCTTCAGTAGGATAGTGTTTATTTTCTTTACCCAAAGTGTGATCCATTTTTAAAAACATGCTGTATTAGATTAGGAAGAAGTACTCTGCACCGTTACTCCTGCAGACAGATCTAAAAAAAAAAAAATACACCGTACTAAATTCTTTTCAGGAAATCCAAAAAAAAAAAAATCACAGTGAGTCATTTTCTCGTCAGTTTGGCATAAAATAGAGAGGTCTGCCTACACATGGGATAGGGATTGCCACAAAGAGTGTTCCAGAAAATGGAGAGAACCAAGTCGAGAAGTGGTCCCAGATCCAGCATCCTGGGTCACTGATCCAGGGAGGGCTTGCATCTGGGGGTGTCATTCCAGAATGAGGAAAGACTGGGAGCCCTAGGTTGTTTACTGAGTAAGAAACAAATTTGGAAGAAAACAGCAGCTGTGCGGTTTGGACTCTTAAGGGCAAAGCTCAGAGGTCTCAGTTCAGCTTCTAGCTCTGGAACAATGAGGGTAGAAATTCCAGATTAAAGGGGAGCCTACAGTTCTGTCACTAATCAGTGGCTGAGTCCAGCAGCAGTCTACTGGAACTCCCAATGGAACAAGCCCACAGGTCTTTGCTCAGACCCAAACCCAGATCAAGAATTGGTAGAGCTCAGACCAGGAGGGCAAAAATCAGACTTTGCCCTGGATCAAACCACTTAGGGAGCACTGAAAGCTTGCAAGTCCCCAGCCTGAGCTGTCCTGAGACTTTGGAATAACACAATAACTCAATACTCCTGGAAAACACCAGGAAGACAAGCCCAGACATTTCCTTCAGAAGCGAATGTAGCTTGCCCCTAATATAAAAATCTGAAGTCAGGAAGAATGAGCAGACTGGGGAAAAAAAAAAGATTCCCACCATAAAAAGCTATTATGGTGACTGGCACTCTGAAGACAAACTTGGAAGAAGAGAATGACTCTAAAACATTTACATGTAAAGCCTCAGAGGAAAACACAGCTTGGGCACAAATTCAATTAGAATTCCTGGAAGAGAGGAGGTGAGAATTTTTTAAAAGAGCTTAGAATATTTTTATTAATGAAATGAGAGTGCTAGAGAAAAAATGAGAAAAGAAATGAGAGTTATGGAAGAGGAAATTGGAAGGGGGAAAGTTTGGCCTTAGAGATACAAAATCTTCCCTGAGCAGCAAACTCCCTAAATATGAGAATATACCAAATGGAAGTTAATAACGTCATGAAATAAATATTAAAGTCAAGAGACTGAAAAAAATGGGGGGAAATGTAAGGTTTCCTCAAAGCACAAAAACTCACTTGGGAAACAGATCAGGGAGAGATAATTTATAAATTGTTAGACTGCTGGAAAGCCATGACCAAATAAAAGAGCTTAGGCATCCTATTTTAAGAAGTCATAAAAGAAAATCACCCTGATCTCTTAGAATCCACTAGTCACCTCCTTAATGAAACCTCTAGGTGAAAACTCTACGGAACACTTTAGCTAAAATCCAGAGCTCCCCAGTCAAAGAACAGATATTGTGAACAGCTAGAGGAGCCACTGTCAGGATCACACAATTTATCAGCCACTATTATAAAAGACTTGGAGGGCTTGGGAGTCAGTATTCCAAAAGGCAAAAGATGGAGCCTTACAGGCAGCAATAACTTACCCAACAAAACTGAATATTATCTCACGTGGGGGAAAAAAATAGATCTTTAATGTAATAGAGGAAATCCAAGAATTCCTGATGACAAGACCAAAGCTGCATAGAAACTTTGAAATGCAAACACAGTAGTCAAGACAAGCTAAAATGGCAAGAATGAGCAGTCAGTCAAAAGTGACTGAACAGAGATGAACTGTTTGTATGCCAATATGTGGGGATGATACATTTAACCCCTCAAAACCCTGTCATCGTCAAGGGTCAGGGAGGGTGCCTAAGTAGACAGAGGGTTTGGGAGTGGTTCTGTTATATATTGATGATCTTAAAAATTTGGAAAGGGTGAAGGAGAGGAATAACATGAGGGTGAAAGAGAGAGGAAGGGTTCTTCTCAGGATGTGCAAATAAGAAGGATATACAAATAGAGGTAGGAAGAGCGGGTGACATTTGAAATGTGCTTTTATCTGAACTGGTCAAAGGAAGGAAGAATACACACACAGAGCTGAGTACAGAAATACATTTCATTCAGCAGGGTAACAAGAAGGAAAAAGGAGAAGGGAGAAAAGTTACTAAAATAGAGAATAGATTAATAGGATTTATCCTAAGCAAAACAAATTCTAAGGATGCACAAAAATATTAAAGCAGGTTTTTTGTGGTGGCAAAGAATTGGAAATTGGAGGTCTGCTCATCATTTAGGGACTGACTGAACAAGTTGTGGTATATGAAGGTGATGGAATATTATTGTGCTAGAAGAAAGATGAAGGGGATGGTTTCAGAAAAACCTGGGAAGACTTGTATGAACTGATGCAAAGTGAAGTGAGCAGGAGAACATTATGCACAGTAATTGCAACATCATAATGATGATCAGCCATGAAGGACTGCAGAACTCAGAATAGCATCATGACAAACCATGATTCCAGAAGACTCATGACTGAACACTCTGTCCACCTCCCTACAGAGAAGGGGAGAATTCAGGGTACAGATTGAGACACATTTTCTTTTGAGGTAGCCAATGCAGAATTATGTTTTGCTTAGGAATTTGTAGCAAGTTAAAAGAAAAAGCTGTAAGCCCTCAGGGGACAAAAAAAAGGAAGCTGAATCGCATTAAAAATAATTTCATACATTGACCATAGATCCATATTTGGACATCTTTGTATCCAAATGCATAGCTTCCAAGGCAGGAAGTTATGTAGGTTCCCCTGGGCACCGCCTTGCTTGTGGTCTCCATTCTTTTGCAAAAGAGCCAGTTGGAACTTTTTATTATTGATCCTTTGTATTTATCAAAGGGGAAGAATCCCAGTTGTGTAAGTCTAAGAACCTGAAAGGGAAACAGGCCTATGGCAAATAGTTATCACATTCTGTAGCATTGTTATCAGATCACATGATACCTTCTCCATGGGGCCTTGCCTGACCCCTCCAGCTGCTGCTGCTGCCTCTTCCTCCACTCCAGTCCCCGTTGCCTTGTAAATTGACTGTGTGCTCCTACTTGTAGGTGAACATGTTTTCTCCCTCAAAACAACAGAAGCTCCACAGGGTTGATTATTCATTTTTGTCTCTTTGTAGCAGAGGACTTGCTCTTAGTCAGTACAAACTGTGATAGGATAATCCCTCGGGATATTGCCGTGATTAAGCACAAAGCGTAGCTTGCTCATTGCTGTGGACATGTAACTCTGGGAGGTTGGATTTCTGCCCTAAGCTTATTCGATTCATATTCAGATTAAGGTCACCTAAGGGGAAATAAAGGTCTGTGGCATTGCTATATACTGTCCTGATTAATTGGTAAACTGGGCTCTTTTCTTTTGGCAGGACGGGAAGCATAAAATCCGAGAGGAAAATGATAAACTAAAAAAGCCCGGGGAAGAAGGCCACACAATTCTTCCTACCAAGTATTGACTAAACTATAAAACTCTTGTTTAACGGGGGTTGGAGCAGGAGGGTCTGTTCACAGTTTTTCCTGGAGTAGGCCAGGAACTGACCTTTTTGTTAATGTTTATAAGCCAGAAAATCATTTTGGAGATGTGGGAAGTTGATAATAAACTCAAGAGAATGGCTAATGGCTTGAGCTGGTCCCCAGGACATCCCGCTCCTACCCCAGGGCCTCAGTGCTCATACCAACCACCTCTTTACTGCCCTAGGGCACAAGAAGGCAACCCGTTTATCGCCTCACTTTGCTTCTGGGCTTATTTTTGTGTCTGTCTCCAGAGAGCTCATCAAGGACGGGCAGTAGATGTCAGGATGGAACTTAACAGGAGCATTTAGGGCTTCTCCAGGTCAAAGGTCTTAGAGCCTACTGTTTTTACCTACTAGAGAGGTGAAGTGACTTGTCTGAGACACATAGCCACTGTAATCTGGAGTTAGCAAGGCAAGGCTTGAGCTATGTACCCCCTTCCCTCCTTTCTCTTTAGCTCTCTGGAATGGCTGGGCTACTTCTGTTCTCTTGGCTTTCCATCCACTTCAACACCAGAAGGCATATTTGCACTATCTTGGTGGGGCAGAGAGGGCAGGGGCAGCTTTACATGTCTGTCCTATGAGAAAGAAAACTTAGAAACTGTGATTGTGCTTTCTGGGAGCCCCTGGGCCATTCATGAATATAAAAACAAGATATAAACATGAACATGAATATTCATGAATATTGAATTCATGAATTCAAACTTATGTAATATATATGATGTTTATTCTTGCCCTGTGTTTCCTCCTTCTCCTCCCCTCTTCCCTCCTCTCCTATCCTTTTTTTAGTCTACAGAATAGTCTTGTGTCATCTGATGCAAAAACAGCCTAGTGGAAAAAGGAATCATACAGAGGAGCTTAGTTGGAACATTTCATTGTGGGGATAATCAAACACATTATTTCTCTGGCTATCCCTGCCCTATACTCTCAGAGCCCAGACTCATTCTAGGGTCCTTAACACTAGCCCCAAATGCGCCTCTTTAGCTCAGAATCTTAATCTTACACTGTCCTCTGAAGCAACTGGGTATTCAGCTCTGCATAATTGAGAAGGAATTTAGAAGGCTTTATTCTGTCTGAATCCCAAGAGGACTCAAAGTAGGGCTGAGTCCAGCCTGGTTCAGAACTTCAGTAAAAATAATGATAATAGCTACCATTTATATGATGCTTATTACGTGCCAGACACTGTGCTAAGCATTTCACAAATATTAGCTCACTTGATACTCACATCAACCATGGCAGACAGGTGCCGTTATCCCCATTTTTACAGTTGAGGAAACTGAAGCAAATAGGTTAAGTGACTTGCCCTAGGTCACACAGCTAATAAGTGTTTGAGGCCCTGACTCTAGCCCCAATGAACCTAGAATCTACCCAGATTTTCTGAGGATAATGGAATCAGCATTAGTCCAGAGTCTGATGGTTCTGCTTATAGACTTAGCCAGGCTAGAAAGACCTGGAACTACAATCTAATTACCACTAGAGTTGGTCAGGGTTTTGCATCTGGATTCAGAGACTATAATCCAAGCTTACCCCCATTTATCATTGGTTCTTACTTAAAATTACTGATGAACAAGGTCTCAGCTCTTTTTCTAATGAATTGTGTTCCATTTTTCTCTTTTGAGGTCAGATAACATCAGAATTTTTTGGTGGAATCGTTGGGAAGGGTCTTGATGAGACTCCATTCGTTGTTCTGATAGTGCAAAAGAACGGGGATTTAAGAATCCCTTGAAGGACCAAGCTGGGTCAATTTGTTTCATTTTTTTTTCATCCATGAAGCAAATAAAATAGCATTTAGTGGAATGAAAATTTTTATTTCAAAGAAAATTATATTTTTATATCAATTGACACACTTGTTTTTCTTGTATTAAAACACAATTTCTAAGATAGAAGATGGAGGGATAGGATAGCAGATGATGGAAAAATTTGCTACTGGCTTTTTAGATTAAATAAACTTTTTACCCTCAAATTCCATTTTTTTCTCCAATACTCTCCTTTCTTTCCTCCATCCCCCACCCCTTCCACTGTGCTAGATCTCATTCTTTTCTGTGTCCTTTGCTGCCAGAAAAAATTGTCCAAGTCAGATGACTTCTCCAAGGGCCTTAAAGGGGAGGTGGGACCCTGTGACTGGCTCCTCAGAGAAGAACAGGAGCCAGTCAGTCCCCTTAGCCTAGAATCTTAATAACCAAGTTAGAAGACTCAGGTTCTAATCTTTGCTTTGCCACTAATTGGCTATTTGGCCTTAACTAAAACATCACAACACTCTGTGCCTCAGTTTCCTCATTTTTAAAAAAGAGAGTTGGATCAAATGATTTCTAAGATCTCTCCCAGCTTTAATGTTCTGTGGTTCAGCAGGAAACCAATCTCGCCTTTGGAAGAGAAAGGTGAAATAGAAAGGTTTCCCAGTAGAAAGGGAACCAGCCATCAGCTCTACCCATCGAAGGGTAGAACATGGGCGTATGTCTTTGCCACAGAGGGAACGGCCAGCATTTCTTCTCTGTGAGTGAGGTTAGGGTGAAAATGCCCCATAGACATCAGCCTAAAGGAACCATGGTCCTGCTGCCTTGATTTTAGAGCAGCTGATTTCTGAACTCTTGTCATCTGCCTAGATGTGGACAAAGTTTTGCTAACTCCCCCTTGGGGTTTCTTCCTTCTAGACTGCAGCCTCCCTCTGACGATCAGCAGGTAACCATTCTTTTCTTGGTCATGGAGAGTTCTTCACAGCACCTGCCTAAAATCTGAAGTGGGCTGGACTAGACCCAGCTAGGAAGCCAGATAGTGCGGGAGATGGACATGGGAACATCGCTGCTGCACCATGTCAGCTTTACTGACTTTAGCCAGATGTTAAGCAAGATGCATCCTCTCACCTCAGTTGGTTAGAACTGGCCCAGCCCATTAACCCTGAGGACGTCACTTGTTTGTGGCGTCTCAGCCACTTGTACCCTTATTATTTACCATTTGCTATTTATACTATTTATTAATATGGGGGCAGCTCAGTGGCACAGTGGATAGACTGTGGGCCTGGAATCAGGAAGATTCATCTTCTTGAGCTGAAATCTGGCCTTAGACACTTATTAGCTGTGTAACTCTGGGCAAGTCACTTAGCCCTGTTTGCCTTAGTCTCCTCATCTATAAAATGACCTGGAGAAGGAAATAGCAAATCACTCCAGTATCTTTGCTAAGAAAACCCCCCAAATGGGGTCACAAAGAGTCAGACATAAATGAAAAATAACAAATTAATAATATAATAAAACCTATTTAGTTAATATACTATTATAATTAATATAATGCTTTAATATTGATTAATATAACACTTTAATATTAATATACTTTATAACTTTAATATAATAAAATTACTATTATAATTAACAATGCTTTAATATGGATTAATACAATGCTTTATAATATAATTAATACAATACTTTATATTATATAATTAATATGATATTTTATATTATGTATGTGTTGTTTACTTCCCTCTCCATATGATGGAGAGAGCCTTATTATATGTGCCAGTATAAGAAATCATTAAAATGCATTTTGCTTCAGAGAGGAGTAGATCTATGTGGCCTGATAAGATTAATAATCTGTAATGTACACCCCAGAGTAGGACAGGGGCCGTGCCTCACATACTCCAAGTGTTTTATAAAGAATTAGTAATGGGGCAGCTAGGTGGCACAGTGGATAGAGCACCGGCCCTGAAGTCAGGAGGACCTGAGTTCAAATGTGGCCTCAGACCAAACACTTGACACTTGCTAGCTATGTGACCCTGAGCAAGTCACTTAACCCTAATTGCCTCACCAAAAAAAATAGTATATAAAGGACATCAGGGCTTCTTAAAACTTCCATTTCTGGTGGGGTTGTATAGAGAATGCAATACCACACAACAGGAAAGTTATGTGAATGTTTAAAAATTAGAATTGTGTACAAGTGTTGATCTAAAAGATTTTTCCTGTGGAAATTTGCCCATTGCTGTAATTAGTAGAAAGGATCGACGAAACCCAGTTAGTAAGGGCTGCCGTTTTTTATGGCGTTGTAAGTTTTGCAGCTCCCCAGAATGACCCTTTTTGTAAAGCCCACCGTGGCTACACAAAGAAGGCTTAGCATAGGGCCCAATCAAAAAAGCAAGAACAGCTGGGTGCGGGAGGGAAGAGAACATTAAAGAATGTGCTCGGAACCAAGAGCAACTAACCAGCCGTCCATGTCGGTGCCTTAGGATCAGCCGTCCCTGTTGAGGAAGCCACAGAGATGCCAGCTGTGCCATGAGGAGGGCAGCGCCGCCAAGGTAATGAACTCTCGGGAGGAATGGGCATGTTGCCCTAACGACTTGGCACATTCATTTGAACTTTAGAATTAAGGAAAGCCTTGGGCTCAACCAGGGCCCCAGACATGTAGTTATCCAGAGTGCTTGGAATTCTCCAGTGAAAAGAGGACTCACTATTTCCTGACCAAGATGTTTCCTACTCCAAGCCAAAACTCTGTCCCTCTGTAGCTTCTACCTCTTCCTCTAATTAATGCCAAGAACAAATCTAATCTTCTCTTCAAGTACCTGAAGACAACAATAATGCCCACCCTACGTCTTCCCCAGTTTTCCAGTCCTCATATGGCATGGTCTCATGGTGTTTCACCACCCATCACCCACTTGGATACTCTCCGACCTATAAATGTCCTTCCTGAATGTCCTTGATGTCTATTAATGTCTTTTCTTTGGAGCCTAGACTGAGCAGTCCTCCAGATGTGATCTGACCAGGATGGTCAGCTTCCTGTACTATACTCTGCTGTCAGATTTATTGGCTCAGACATCACAGTTGATACTGAGCCGTGTTCTAAAGCATTTCTCTTTGGAAGGAGAGAGTCATATATTTGGAAGTTTAGGTAATATTAAAAACAAATAACAAAATTAAATTTTTAAAAATCCGAGAAATGATCTCAAATACTGTCTTCTCTTTTTTGGAAATTGGGACATCAGGTCAGTAAATGGCTCCTCATCTCTTCCTCCTCAGACCATGACTAGATGAACTCTCTCTTGACAGACTCACATTGTTGTGCTTAGAGCCCAAAACACCTCTTCTTCCTCATCAAGGGTTTAGTTCCTCGTACCTCTTTCTCAGCTCCAAATGAAGCCTTTCTGTCCCCATGTCACAGTCTTCTTACCTAACGCTAGCCCTTCTTGATTCTTTTTACTCTCTTCTGTAGTTCCTCTTCCCATCTCTCCAGGGAGAGAAGGGAACCATCTAAAGAGGTGCTGAATACTCGGATTTCAGTCCAAGGCCACTGGCAGCTCAGCTCTTCTACCTTTATTTGATGAGCTCAGGAAATGCAAACTAATTTTAATATTAGCTAAAGATAAACGGAATTAAATCCCTCTCCATGATAGACTGCGTAGGAAAGTATTCTTTCACTCTTTTCACCTCCTGCCCATACTTTCTATCCAAGACCACCTCCTTACCCAGAGCTATTGGGCACTTGGCCACATACTGCTTCCCAAATCTTGTGGTAGTCAAAGAGGTAGTTGGCAAGTGTATATCTGTTACCTGGTACAGGAAACTGGACAAAACTATGAAATGAGGGGCAGCTAAGTGGCGCAGTGAATGGAGCACCGGCCCTGAAGTCAGGAGGACCTGAGTTCAAATGCAGCCTCAGATCAAACACTTGACACTTACTAGCTGTGTGACCCTGGGCAAGTTTCTTAACCCCAATTGCCTAAAAATAAAAAAAGATGAAAAAAATATGAAATGAATTGTGTTCGTCAGACTGGTAATTGTCAAATTTGTTCTTCCCTGGGGTATTTGCCTTCCCACTTCTGTAAGTCATGGATTTGAGCTGAAGAAAGACTGGAAGATGAGTGTAAAGCAGATTTTCAGAGAAATGACAGCAGCAAAGGGGCATGTACCTAAATTTCCAAATATGTGCCTCTCTTTTCCAAAGAAAAATGCTTTAAAACAGGGGTCAGCTAACTATGGCCCACGGTAGTTCTTCCTGTATGCCCTAAACCTAGAATGTCACAAAACATGATGCATAGGCCCAGAACAGGATGGGGAGGACAGCCTAATCATAGCTAACAAAGTCAAACAGGGAGAGGGATGTTGGGGGATGCCCCTTCACAGCCTTGGGACCCCCACCTGAGACAAGTATGATCTCAAAAAGGTTACCTCCTTCCATTCTTTACAAAGATGGTGGTAGGGATGGGTGTAGAATATGGCACGATAGATGTGGTGGTGAATTTTGCTGAACAGGGGAAGGTAGCTAGCTAGGAATCTCTTTGGAAATGAAGGTGATGATATATAATAATTAACAGTTAAACAAAAAAAGGAATGGTCTTCTCAAGGCCAGCCACTGACATTACCCATTGCCTCCTTCTTAAAAGAAATAACTATGGAAAAAGTCAGGACATCCAATTCCAAGCTCTGTTTTTGATGTTGACTGTTTTACCACCCATGCATCGCTTCAGTCATTGAAGGTGTTGAATCATAACTCTTACCTGGATGTCCTTGGCAGACATTTCATTCCCTGCCAGTGGGTAGGCCAGCTTCCTACCTTTAATTGATGTGTGCTCACAAGTGGAAACTAATTTTAGTATTAGCTAAAGATAAACATAATTAGATCCCCCTAATCTAGGGGGATGCATTATAATACCAAAGGAAAAAATGATCTAGCTCTTTTCACTTGTATTACTGCCTGTTGCTATTAGTATAAATAATTAATGACATGCTCAGCTTTGGTTGTAAACCTACTAACCGCTGCTCACCTTTGGGGCCCTTTGGTTTGGGACCAGATCTCATTTCATCCGTGTCGGAAGCTCCAGTCGGCACCTACGCTGCCAGTCACTCTGGGAGCCAAGAGGTTAAATGATTGCCTTGTCCTTTTGCTTGTCTTCTCAAGGGGTGGGAAGGAGGGAGTCAATTTGGAAATCACCGTTTTTTTACATGAATGTTAAGATTTTTTTTCACATATAAATATTTAACAAAATAAATAGAAATATACTGAGGTTAAATGATTTACCTAGGGTCACACAGCCAGCCAGTATATGTCAGAGACAGGACTTGAAACCAGGTCTCCTTGGCTCAGGGGCTGGTTCTCTTTTCCATCCTCCACACTGCCTCTGTGTACAGTATTTTAAAGGTTATAAAGGGTTATTTTCCCATCAGGTAAGCACATGTAGCTATCATGGTCCCCATTTTGCAGATGACATAATTAAGGCAAGTGTTTCCTAGTACCAGAAGTGTGCATCGGAGACCCAGGAAGTACCCACTGATACGTTCCTTGTTCTGTCTGCTGGTTTCTGGTTGTCTTACCCCCGTCTTTCCTCTTCATTGCAGAACATGTGCAAGAATTGTGGAGGCACCTTCTGCCAGGCCTGCTCAGCCAGCGAGCTGCCCCTCCCTTCCAGCATCAACCCTGAGCCAGTGTGCAATCCTTGTCGTGACCGCCTGTTGAAACAGTACTCGGTCAGCCCATCCTAAGGCTGGGGACCAGACTGGGGCCAGATCGCTTCATCCTGGGCTAAGGGGCAGAGGCTTGTACCAAAGGCCATACCTTAGAATCAGCTAGGACTTGGAGAGGGAGAGAAATCTGACGTCACAGGAGCCAGGCAGGGAGGGTAGGTGTTAGGAGCGCTCAGAACTGCCCTCCCTCCTTCCACAGTGACGACAGATAAAAGCTCAGTTGATTTTGTCTCCCCTTCAAAGTGCCCTCCCTTCGAGAGTATATTTATTGTATAGAATGACTTTAGATGGCTGGATAAGCTCAGGAACAGAGGCAGGGTCACTTTTTGAAGAACTTGTTCAAACCATGGGAGAAAAATAATTTAGCATGTACAACCAAGTTTCCTTTAGACCTGTTGAATTGGCAGGTCCACGGAAGAGCAAATGAGAAAGGTTAGTTTTTTCTGCCACCAGACACTGATGAGTTCATCCTCCCATCCCCTCTAATCATCTTTGTCAAACTGTGAACTTGACCTCAGGGATACTGGTTATATATTCTGAATGTACTTAACACAAGGTGGCAATTTCTTTAATCTACTTTTAGCATCAAGAGGTTCCTGCTGTTGGCCTAAATTCTTTCTGCCAGAATAGCAAGAGTAAAGTGGGGACTTTCCCCAAGTCCTTACCACAAGCGCCCCGCTGAAGTCACCTGTTGGCCAACATCTAAATTCCAATAGGCCAGTCCCATAGAAAAATGATCATTGCTTCCAGAGTCCTCAACAACACCTGTTGGGGTGGAAATTTTAGGAAATCCTTCCAGAGGTGGGGACTATGGTTGTGAAATGTCGCATAGACCATCAGTCAGACCGTTGGCTTTCCTCTTTTAATCTTTGGGGGTAAGAAAGGGATCTATTCAGAAACAGGTGAAATGAAAAGGCATCAATTTTGAAACCTATAGGAGGATCACTACAAGGACTTTAGCTTAAATATGGAGAACTGGTGTTGGTCAACCAAGCATAAATTAAACCTGGATTTCATTTGTCCACAGCTGAGAGTGGATGGCTCTGAAATGAGTGTGACTTTAAGCAGTTTTAACAGTTACTTTTTCTCGACTGGGCCAGTGATTTAGAAACAAAATGTTTTCATAGCAGAATTAAGGGTTTGGCATTAATGGCCTGCTTTATTTGATGGGTCACACTGAGACAACCCTTGGTAGAAGGGAAAGGGGGGGGTGAGACATGGAATGTTTTCCCTTCAGAAAATCTGTGGGAAAATTGTGAGACAGAGTATTTAGGTGATCTTGCCCCCAGCTGCAGCTGGAGAAAACAGAACATTCTGCTTAGACTTAAAACTCCTGAGAAAGAAATAACTTAGTCCAGTAATACTTTTCTTAAAAATGTCATTTGCTAGAAAGGATATGGGGTCTGAGAAGAAGAATAAGGTTATCTTCTTAAGGAATGTTGGGAAAATCCCTCAGAAAACTAACAGTGCCACTGGATGAGGTCGGCATTCAATATTACTGAGAAAAGTTAAACGGTGGCCCAGGTTTTTTTCTCTTTGTATTATTACTACTGAATTTTTCTATCTAGGCTTCTTAGGAAGTACAAGTTACTCCAAAATGGCAAAGGTGTTTGGGATCTATCAGCCCTAAGGAGGAGGAGGTGAAATTCATTGTTCAGGGTGTATATCTTACTCAATGAGGTTTTGTTTTGACTTTCAAAAAATAAAGCCTCTAATGGAATCTGGGTGCTTTGTCATTAGTACAATAATTGAAAGAGATGAAGTGATTACTAATATTACTGCTTTGAAAGGGACACCAGCAGTTCAGTCCCGTAGAGATCCCAATTTGACTAAAGGCATTGAAGTGTGCAGATTATCCCCCAAGTTAGATTATTTACACTAAAGAGGTGTTTTTAGTTTGCTATATATGTAAGAGGTGGCCTGCATCGCTCCACAGACCTGATACGGGGTCATTTTGCAAAGGACTATCTGCTGCTATCTCTGCTAATCCAGGATCTATAGAGCCCATTAAAACAATCTTATTAAATGAGTTGACAGCTAAGAATGAAAATTCCTGCTTTTACATGCAGAAGCAGTTATTTTGAGAGTTTCTAAGCCCTAAGAAAAACTTTTTCACATTGAATCTCTCCAGTTGATTCTTGTAGATAAATAATTTCATCTTCATCCCCAACTTGCAAACCCAAGGTTTACTGATGTCCCTATTTCACCCCACCAAATCCACTGTGTTGAGTTTGTTAGATGTGATTTGTATTGACTAAATGAACTTTTAAAAAATACTATTTTTCTAACAAATTGGCTTTATTCCCTTTAGTCACTAATCTGCCTGCTTGGCGGAGGACCCCAAATCCAAAGATTTTGGACACTCCTAATACAATAAAAGCAGCCTTTTGTGGTCCTAGAATAACAGATAAGTGTCTAAAGGAGTAGGAGAGTCTCTTGAGGTGTGCATAGGATTGGTTTTCAGAAATACTTTAAAAGCAGGGCCAGGCCAAAAATAATGCTGAGGCTAGCATCATGGCAAATACTTGCTAGTTAAGGTTATGGACCAGGCCTTTCAGTATTTCAGTGCGTGAATCAGACTGTTTCCCAGTTTTCCACAGTGCTTTTCTTCACTTCAGGTCATGTAAGTCGCCCAACTCAGGCTCAGTCAGATCTCAGGGCTCCCTTGAAAGCAGGGCTTCACTTAGGTCCTGGATAGACTTCCAGGGTGTTCCCTCAACTGGCTTGATTCAAAGGTTGTAGAACAGTTTTGTTCTTAAATAAATTTATTTGATCTTGTTTTCTAGTTGTTTTTTTTCACTCCACTCCATTTCTATTACTTTTGTACCTCTGCTAACCATGTAGAACACTTCCCATGTAGCTTCCAGAATCATTTTATATACCAGTGTTATGGACATGCTTCTCTCTTTTCCTAAGGTCAGAAGATAAAATCAAACACTTCCCTCCACTCTTGTGTGTGTGTGCACGCACATTTTGATTTCCGAATACCAATTTTTGGAAACAGATGAACATAAACTGAACCCTTTAAAGTTGGGCCTGCGTTCTCTTAGACCAAACAGGTCCTATCTGAGGTGTCCCTGCTCCCCCAGCCCTAATGGGGGAAGCTTCCACTAAGAATTTGAATGTTTGACCCTGTCCAGAAGGGACTGTCTGTCCTCCTCTGGACTCGCACAATCCTATTCCATCGTGTTTTGTGCCTCTTGACAGCCCAAGGCTGTCACAGTAAGATACTGCTCTTAAGTCATTATACCTTCCACATAGCAGTTAATGAATTTGGATACATTATCGCACAGGAGACCTTGCTCAAAATAACGAGAAAAAAGATGACAATGGGCTATTTCCATTATGTGGTTTAGGCCCTTACCTTATTCCTCCTTTGATAAACAGGTGTTAGTGGCACAGAATTTTCTTTACACAATTATTAAGCACTGCGTGACTGAACACAACATATTTCAGTTACCCTGTCTTACATTATAAGTTTGAATAGTGTGAACTCAGTCGATCTGATCCTTGTGCTAATTGGGTCTTCTGCCCCCAATCGCTTGCTAAATGACTGGGCATTTTCAGCCAAGCCCCCATTCTTGACCAGATGCTAGGGGTGCCAGCCAAGGCGAGGGAGAGCACACTCAAGAATTTGGCCACTCGTGGCAAAGGAAGCCTCTTGGCAGTTTGCCATACCTCAAAAAACCTCCCTCATCCCTTCCCCAGAAACGGATCTTTCCATGGACCATTAAGGATGGGTTCTTCGGGCCCATGTCACCCATGCTGCTGGTACTGACAACAAGGTTCAACTTTCTGAGGCCTAAGCTCCAAAATGGGGCTCGCTAATGAACCTCTAGGAACAGCGACAACCAGCACGGTGCCGGACAAGGGGACAGGGGCACCCATTTATTTCTACTTCAGCTGGTAAACCTGAATTAAGATGTGTGCACATAGACACACCATGAATAAATACTCGCCAGTCTGAAATAAGCCTTCATTTATTGACTAACTTTACAGTACAGTGATTTGATATTTTTAGCTGGTAATTACATATGGTAATGTAGTACGTGAGAGAAGACAAAACTCCCCTCTTGCAGACACCATCTCCCACAGTCCTGGGGTAATTAGTTTTCAGAAATTTGATTGCTCTTCCTGGTAAACTACCTGTCATCCTGAGAAGAGGCGCAGCAAAGGGGGAGGGGAAAGCACACAGCACTTGGATTCACCTGGACGGGTGCACGTCAACTTAGCGAAGCACAAAACTTTGGAGTCGGCGGCTGTGAATGGGTTAAGTGAAGGAGCTATTTAAAAGAGTAAACCAGAAGATACTGCCACAGTGTGAGAGGAGCACAGCTTTATCTAGAAGCCTTCTGGGGACTGATCCAGTCCATGCTTCACATAAGTGAGGCACTGCATCGAGCTTTGGGACCACACGCATGCACCTGTGCTTGCAGAGGGAAGGACGGACGGATGGCGGGAATGACAAAGGTGTGCCTTGCCCAGGAGGGGCTGACGGCAGGCAGGCAGGCAGGCGGAGGGCTCGCCTGAAGCCGCTGCCCTCCATACTGGACTTACAAGCTCTGTTCATTTTACTTGGTTCAAAACTAACCCCATGAAGGGTGTACATTTTTTTTAGAGTTCAGGCACCTTTAAGATGAAGTTAAGATTCCCTTAATCTACAGCACTGCTTAATTACCATGTAAATTCACCAGGCACCAATGTTAGATATCATAAGGCTTAAGGGACCACAACATTTATATTAAGAAAATCGGCCTTCACTAACAACCAGGTACGTTTTCAGCTTGGGTTCCCACCCCTCCTGACTGGTTACGGTTAAATCTGAAGACCACCCTTCCTCCCCCAAGTTCAGAAACCTTTCCCTGCTTTGGTGAGCGCCTGGTTGCAGTCGTCAATACTCTGCTACAACTACAGCCTTCAAACTAGGAATTTTGCATCAGGGTTCTCCATCCACAGAGAACAAAACCTTTGTCTAAGTTATAAAAACAAGGTTAACTGAATAAAAATGAAGAGTAGCTGGGTTAGGTTTGCTCTCCCCATCAAGCTGTGTGGGCATATGAATAAAGATCTGATTTTCAATGAGATCCTAGACAGCATAAACAAAAATTTAAATGGGTGGTTTATTTCATAATCCCAAACTGAATCTTCTTTCTAAACAGTCAGCTATGGAATTTTTCTTCAAAGCTATTAAACCCCACACCCCCACACACACAAAAAATTTACTAGACAAAGCTGCTGATAAAACTCTGGATTCCATGTCCAAGATAGGTGTGCAAATCAAATGCTTCTTGCTTCATCCTGAAAATAAAACCATAAGAAACCATTCTGAACCTTTATCAAATTAAGAAGGAAAACAAAGTGCTTAAAACTTTGTAGGTGCACCTCTCTCCCGAGCTGTTGTGAGGATCAAATGAGATCCTATTTGCAAAGCGCTTAGCACAGTGTCTGGCACACAGGAGGCACCATATAAATGCTAACTATTATTACTAAGGGGTTGGTATGAGGTTAGATAGCCCTTGGAGGAAATTTTGGCAGAACACATTTAATGTACTGATGAAAACTTAAGCCTATGGAGTTTTAGCAAATAATACTAAAAGGGAGGCTTCCTTATAAAATACCATTTTTGGAAAAAGGAGATTATTGATTTCAAGACCAAAAATCTCTTGTGCCCCAGACCTAGCCCAGACGCTGACCATACCCACAGCAGTCAAGCACTCCCCATGTGTTCATTCCCAAGAGCCGGTCCCAATGCAGCCTCATGAAGAGCTGTGGTTCCTGACCACTCACCCACCAGCTCTCCATGCCCTGACTGCCTGAGACCTCACTCTTCTGCCCAATGTTAATCCTGCTTTTTCCTAAACAATGGGGATGGATCCTTTCTGGAAGACTTATTAAAGGGCATAGACGAGAATCACAGATCCATCCACAGACATGACATAACCATGATACAACCTCTACAAGGCTTCTAAGACAAAGTAAGTTTCGCAACCACACTGTTAATGTAGAATAACTCAATCTCACACATCATTTGGCAGTAAACCATTTGTGAAAGTGTTCTAATGTGGTTCTGCCAACATCACATTTCGCAGAACTAATTACCAACAGGGGTGGAGGGCTGTGTTCTGAGCTCATCAAAGAGGAACACTTTTTGCCTTGCTGCAAATTTATGGACCCTCCTAAGTCATGATTATTTTTTCACAGGTGATCTTAAATTTACCTTGTTACATGGATTCAATGATGTTCCTGGCAACTCTATTTTCCTTTTGGACAAGAATTCAGGAACAGCTCGATATACCTATGCTCTGGGGAGCACCCAAAAATAATAACAAAGCACTGATTAAAAGGGGGGGGGGACAAACAGATCAGGATTCCCCACTGCTCAGCCACTAACCCAGCCCTTTCCAAAACTCTTCTCCATTGTTTTTTTTTCCTTTTTAAGAACATGGACTGAGAAATCCACTGTACTTAATTCTAGCATACTTATAAATGTACTTGTTCTGTTCCCCTAAATACAATGTAATCTCCTTGAGGTTAGTGATCCTTATGTTCTCAGTGCCAACTATTTCTATTAATGATGGCAGACCTTGGTTGTTCTATCTATACTTAACATGTGTAAATATGCCCAGAAGCCTTTTTGCAGTACAATATAATGCCACTGGGCTTATTCAATAAATAAATGTAGATTATGTTTTCTTCTCCAGTAAGGTCTATCTAGTAAATTTATAAAGTGAAAAATCAGATATGAAAACTTTCTGATGCAAAAAACTAATTAATTATTTATAAGTATTGTTAATAAAAACTGTCACAGTATATAAAATCCTTCCCATCTGGTAAGTGCTTTCTAATCACATCCAGGATATCTGCACAATTGCCATTAGGTTCAAAAATAAATCTTTAAAGTCAGTCCCCCAGGAGTTAAGTGTGGTCAAAGGATATGAGCAAACAGTTCTCAAAAGAATAAACTACTGACCACATGAAAGATGATTCCAAATCTCTAATAAAAGACATACAAATCAAAACAAGCCTGTTTTCACCCTTCACACACACAGCAGACTGACACAGATTACCAAAAAGGTTCATGGGATTAGAGGGGCTGCACAAGGATACTGGGAATTATGCCAAACATGACTAAGGCTTCCGTACCCTATTACCTACAGAACACACTTATCATACATCTCCCAAGGAAGCCAAAGATAAAAAGGCCCCCAAATAGTCACTGCAACACTTTTTTAAGCAGCAAAAGGCTGAGAACAACCTAGGCCGGGGAATGGCTAAAAACATTTACTTGCCCTCGGCAGAATGCCGCCGGGCTCCAAGAGGGAGGAAGCACAGGCAGTCAGAGGCAGTCACCTAAGTGCAGCCACGCTGGCCCCGAGGCAAGAGCCCTGTGGCGGTGCTAAGGAAGGTGACCTCTGCCGGGGAGGGGCAGGGGACCAGGATGGAGGCCACCTCCTGCCGGCTGGGAGGATGGCTGGGCCGGCTTGTCTACTTTAAAAAAAAATTATCATCACCACCACAAAAATTTAAGTAAACTGCTAGGGCTGAAAAGCTTCAGCAGGCTGAGTATAATGTGAATTTGAAGCACATGTAGGGAAGCTTCTGAAAGCACAATTTATTCCACGCTGTACCACCAAGAAGGCAGCTTTCCAAACAAGCTGCCGGGCCGGGGAAGGCCTGGGAAGGCCTGGGAGCCCTCCTGAGCCTCTCTAGCAGCGCACGCAGGAATGCCACTTACGCACGTGGGACCGATCCTTGCCCATTGCCGCCACGGCGTCCTCG